GCAGACTGACCGAAAGCACTACTGAGGCGAGCAGTGGGCTCGAGATAGGAGAGATCTGCCGTGCCATGTGGGAATCTCCCTGACTGGCCGGGAATTGAACCCACACTGCAGAGGCTACGGACAGCTTCACAGCGCTGTGCTCAACCCGCTGCGCCACCAGGGAGGCCCTGTCTGATTATTTACAGAAAAAGTTTGCTAATCTCTGACTTAGAAGATAGAGTTCAGACTTGAGTAGGTTGAAAAATCCTTCATGTTTTTTCCCCCACAGGTTAATCACCTCCATTCTTTGAAATACCTTAAATTCTATCCTGTTTTCTCTTGTGCCTATTTAATTTTGCGTTTTTTTAGTCTACTTTTTCATCTCAAACTCCAGTTCATGCTATAAAACCCAGCTAAGTTTGTCCTCTTTCAAACTTGCCTCATCTCTCCTGGAAGCTTTGTCCTGTAACCTCCCTTTTTTTCCTCTCCATATTTCTATTGTAGCACTTTTGTATCCTAACCTATGTTATAATGCAGTTATTCCTCCTCCTAACATTGACCCTAAGGAGACTTTTTTTTTGTTTAAAGCTTTATTTATTCATACATACAAGATACCAGGATACGGGTCAGACACGAGGGAGGGTGAGAGGATTTACCTGAGACAGAGCAGGGAACAGAACAGGCAGACTGATGAAATACACTGCTGAGGGGAGCAGAGGGCGAGACAGGAGAGGTCTGCCGGCGCCATGTGGGATTCTCGCCCGCCAGGATCGAACCTGCATTGCAGAGGCTGCCGACAGCTTCACAGTGCTGCGCTCAACCGCCTGCGCCACCAGGGGAGGCCCCAGGAGACTGTTCTTTATAATGATTTTATATAATCAGTGTCTAACACCTGTAGCATTTAACAGCTAGTAAAGAGATGGACGAACAGAGTCTAGAAGTTTGATTGAAGGAAAACCTGAATCGGAAACATAAATTCAGGATTTTTTAAAAAAGATTTTTTTATGTATACAAGAACTGGGGTGTAGGGCAGAGGTACAGGGTGTGTGTGTGAAAATGCACCAGAGACGGAGTGAGGAGCAGAGCAGGCGGATCTCCTGAAATACACTGCCGATAGGAGCAGATCTAACTCATGCCGCAGTGGCTGGCGATAACTTGATAGCACTGAGACTTTAACCCCTGCAACACCAGGGAGGCCCCTGACTCAGGATTTTTTTTTTTTAAGATTTATTTATTTATACAAGCACTGGGTACAGTCAGAAGCGCAGGAGGGTGAGAGAATTCACCAGAGCCAGAGCTGGGAGCAGAACAGGCAGAAGGACCGAAGCACACTGCTGAGGGGAGCAGCGGGCGGCAGGAGAGGTCTGCGCGCCATGTGGGACCCTCCACCGGTGGCCGGGGAGCAGCTGGGGATTGAACCCGCGCTGCAGAGGCTGCGGGCAGCTTCGCAACCCAGCGCTCAACCGCTGCGCCACCGGGGAGGCCCCTGACTCAGAATTTTGATGCCTGTGGAAACCTTTGCTCAGGCCATTGTTATGTGACCAACACTATAATACATTTTTACTAACTTGATTTTTTTCACTTAACATTAGCCATTGCCATTTACTCATGCCATTAAATGTTTTACAGAAGTACATTTCTAATGTGTGTATAAGTGAACTACATAAGCATTTACTTTTATTGAACATTTAGATTTTCTCTAAGTAGTCTTTGCCTTTATTATGTTTCCAAAGGCCTATTGTCTTACATTAAATATTGTGCACTTGTTTAAATTTTAAGCCTGGGAGTCAATGTGAGTATTGTCAGCTTCCCTGGAACCAAGACTGTAATAATAAAGTATGCTTATCTTTTTGTAAATAACAAAATCCTTATAAGAGTCAGTCTTCCCCGTTGAGTCTTCTTATGCTAGACCAGCCTTTTCCCTCCTAAATGTTTGTTACAGCGCCTAAGCTCTTGGTGCCTGCAGGTGCCAGCAAGGCCCAGTGCGGATTTCTATGATCTGGGCAGACGGGTAAAGGAGCGTCCTGGAGCCCTCGGTGGCTTTTCAGGCTTTTATTGAGCTTTTTACAAGGCTGGGAAGGGGGTGCAGGGTTGGAGGGGGTGGCTGGAGGCTGGCAAGCCCGGAGGCCTCCAGCCCCTGGTGAGTCTTCTCTTTTTCTGGGCGCTCTGGTGTTCTTTCGTGTCTCTGCTTCTCCTTTGCTGCTCTCCTGCTGTTCTGCTGCTTTCCTTCTGCTGGAGTCCCCGTGATGCCACCCTTATAAGCACAGTCTCTCAGTCCAGGTGTGCCCACCTATGCATGCCCACACCTACTCCAGGTGTCCGCCATCAGGCATGCATGTCGGACCACAGGGGTCCATTATTAATGCTAATGGCGGGATGGTGGAAAATCCTGATAATTTTCACTTACTCTACAGTGCCTCTGCCTCTTTTCTCCTCAGAGTTCCGCACTTGCTTTCCCATTACAACTCAGTGTAACCCCAAATCCTTAATGAGTTCCACATGAATCTGCAATGTATTTGTCCCTTATCTGTCCACTTCAGCCTTGTTCTTAGGCACTTGCTCCACTAACTTACCATGTGCTCATTTTCTTTGGGACCGGCTGCTGCTTCCCTGGTACCAAAGGGACATAGGAACTTTGCTGATAATTTTCCATCTCCCTGCTCTACATCTTTTGCTTCTCTGTAATCTAATCAACTCTACTCAGCTTTTAAACTTGATCGAGTTCTTAAATTTTAGCAAATGTTATTTCTTCAGAGAGGCTTTCCCACCTATTCTAAACAGTTAATATTTAACCTCTTTATTCTCTAGGATCCTGTGCATTTCCCTCCTAGCAGTTGTTTGCATAACTATATTTGTGTATGCGGTTATTACATAGATTTATTTGAAGCTTCTTTGCCCCACCTCATCCCTGAACTTCGAATAACTTAAGCCCCGGGAAGGAGGAGGCTATGACATTTCATTAATTGGTGTGGAAATAGCTGTGTATTTTCTTTTAGAACTGTTTATAACAGGTTATACTATGAGGAATGAATTTTATAATAGGAAATAAGACTTTTAACCTTTAGACATTGTCTTAAATTCATGGTGGCCTTTCCTGTATTTTAACCAGTTAATATTTAATCTTTAATAGCCCTTCATTACCGTGTTTGTGGACTAGCTTGAGGAAATGTGCCTGTAATGCAAGCGTATAAGACTTAGTACAGCTGAAGCATATCTGAATGATAAAGTCTTAACGTTCTGTGGATAAAATGTACACACAGTAAAATACACAGATCTTAAGTATACATGTAAATGTTAGAAATATAATTGCTGGGATATTAGGGAGTTTTATTTTTAGATTTATAATAAAATGTCACCAGGAATGTGTGAACGTTCTAGAACAGAGACTGTTCTAAAGTCTCACTGACATTTAACATTGTCAATGTTTTCAATTTTACCTAGTCTATGAATGTGAAGTGATATTTATATTTTCCTCATGACTAATGATGTTGACTACTTTCTTATATGCTTTTTGCCATTAGTTGCAAAGTTTTTTGCTCATTTCAAATTTGTGTTTTGCACACTTTTTATGGTCTGTTCTGAGGTTAGCCGTGTATTTAAAGAGTTTGTATTAAAATGTTTGAGGCTTCCTCCTGTGACTCAGCCCTTCCCAGGACTCTCCCCCTCAATTTCTAACTACTCTAGTTATCCTGGACTCCATCTTTTTAACACCTCAAGCCAAAAAAACTGTTTTTTATTTGCTCAAATTTTAACCATGCTGTACTCCAAGAACTCTCTGGGATAGAATAGAAGGTTAAGAGATCCTTCAGGCAGAAAAGCTGTATAAAAGTGGATCTCACTCATTGTGTTTTTCCCAGGGGTCAAATCCCCTTCAGTTTGTGCCTGTTTTTCAGTGTTCCCTTCTGAAATTCAATGTCTTTGAATTACCTCATCTGGACATGATTTCTTTGTTTAGAAAATACCCTTTGAGTTCCTTATGCACAAGATTTTTCTCCTTCCAGTTATCTATTGCTTGCTTTCTAGATAACTCTAAAATGTAATGGTTTAAAATGGCCATTTATTATACTTACGATTCCTATGGGTCATGAGTTTGGAAAGGTACAGCCAGGATGACATGTCTCTCCTTTGTTGATCTGTGTAATCTGGGACCTGGGGGTGATGCTGTAACTGGAACAACAGTCACCTAGAAGTGCCAACCCACACATCTGGCCGTTGATGCTCACTGTTGGCTGTGACCTCCCTAGGACCCCGGGCTGCAGTCTCCTCATAGCATTGAGGCCTTGCATTCTTACATGGTGATTCAGGAGCTCGTCATGGGTATCCCAGAGAACCAGCCATAAGCTGCATGGCCTTTTTTGATCTGTCTCAGAAGTCGCATGGCAGAGGTTACACCGCATCACTTCCTCTACTACTGGCCATCCAGTCTGTGTTGTGGGCCCAAGTTCAAGGGGAGGGACATGGACCCACTGCTCAGTGGGAGAAGTGCCAAAGAATTTGCAGACATGTTTTAAAACCACCATACTCATTTAGAGGCTTACTAGCTCTTCCTTGTGTCTAGCATAGTCTTAAGTTCATCCCAATAGATATTCATCCAAGTAGTCACTTTTTTCCTTAAACATAGTAGAATAGGACCTAAAGTAAATTTGTGCTTAAAGCCTTAAAGGGGTAAGATACCATACTTTTTTTTTTTTTAAAGATTTATTTATTTCTACAAGCACCGGGTATAGTCAGAAGCGCGGGAGGGTGAGAGAATTCACCAGAGCCAGAGTGGGGAGCAAAACAGGCAGAAGGACCGAAGCACACTGCTGAGGGGAGCAGCGGGTGCGACAGGAGTGGTCTGCGCGCCATGTGGGACCCTCGCTGGTGGCAGGGGATTGAACCGGTGCTGCGGAGGCTGCGAGCAGCTTCGCAGCCCAGCGCTCAACTGCTGCGCCACCGGGGAGGCCCCAAAGATACCATACTTCTTAAAAGCAATTCCTGAGATTATTTTTGTCTTTTTTTTTTTTTTTTTTGGTTTTTAGAATATTTAATGAAAACAACCCCACGCTTAAGGGTTGAAAATGGCAGGCTTCCTGGACAATTTCCGTTGGCCGGAATGTGAATGTATTGACTGGAGTGAGAGGAGGAACACCGTGGCTTCCGTGGTAGCAGGTATATTGGTAAGTGGAAGGGCCTGGTTGGTGATCTTTATGCCTCATCTTTTGCCCTGAAAATTAATGTCAATTCCTTTAGACTGTGACTACCCTTAGACTATTTATCTCACTGTTGTTTTGTTTTGTTTTTTCATTTTATTTTTTTTATTTTTTTTTTAAGATTTATTTATTTATTTATACAAGCACTGGGTACAGTCAGAAGCGCGGAGGGTGAGAGAATTCACCAGAGCCAGAGCGGGGAGCAGAGCAGGCAGAAGGACCGAAGTACACTGCTGAGGGGAGCAGCGGGCGGCAGGAGAGGTCTGCGCGCCATGTGGGACCCTCCTCTGGTGGCCGGGGAGCAGCCGGGAATCGAACCAGCACCGCAGAGGTCGCGGGCAGCTTCGCAACCCAGCGCTCAACCGCTGCGCCACCGGGGAGGCCCCCTCACTGTTGTTTTGTATAAATATCAGCATTTTACATACCATTGCTAAATAAAACAAGTTATATGGGTTCAATTGACTGTAAATTTGTTAATCTCAGTGTCTTTTCTTCAGTTCCAATTCCAGTTAATGATACAATATGTTTTAAGTTCTTTAAGAACCTTAAAGGCTCAGAATTTGATGTGACAAAGATGTCTTGACTCACTGAGGTTCACAGTGTGTAAACAGCATTAAGGGGCTCAGGCTGCGTTGGAACCTAACTCTGCTGTGTTTTCTGGGGAAGGGAAGGGAGCCATTTCCATTTCCCCCCTGCAGCACTGGGGGCAAGTGAGAGGAAGACATTTGTGGAGAAATTACTGAATTTTCTTTTTCAACAGTGTTTTCTTTTTGATTATGAAAAATGTCAGGTGTGTAAGCAAAAATAGAGAAGGTAGTATAAAGAGCCTCTTTCCCCTCTACTTACCATCCAGCTTCAGAGTCAGATCATGCCCCATTTGTTTTAGTTTTCCATCAGTCACTCTATCCCCACTACATTTTTTTGAAGCCAATTTCAGTATCTATTACACTTTAAACATTCATCTCTTGAAGTATACAGTTTTATATCTGTGCCCAAGAGAAAAAAATAAAGCAGAGTAGAACTGAAGAGACTTGTGAAGCGATCTGTATGCAATTCTTTCAGATATTGCTAAGTTTTTTTTTCTTTATGGTCATTTCACCTGCACTTGTTTATAAAATTCCTTAACACTCTTGTCTACTTTAAAGCTGTTCAACTTAGTTTAGGTAAAAACATTGTATTTTGCAAACTCATGTTCAGCCATTTATACAGTAGTCAGATTACATAGTTTAAACTATAGCAGCCTAAATAGTTTTGGAGACATGACGTTAGCTTCTTGGTAAGCTTGTAGCTCAGTTGTGGAAGCAGCAGTGCTTGGATTAAAAAAAAAAAAAATTCTCTAGACAGAATGAGAGCTATCAGGTAATCAGGTAGTTGGTTAGTTGGAGGTTATTTAAGAGAACCTCTGTTGCATATAATTAGGTGCATAAAAGAAGCAGGCAATTCATTCTCGGATGGTAATTTTTTTTATCTGGCATTGAGAGCAGAATATCAGAATCTTTCACAGATTTTATCAGTTATGTTCATCTGAAAGGCAATAAAGAATAAGTAAACAAGGGATTCTTCTTTTTTATATTTCAACATCTAGAATTCAAAGAGGGAGTATTTTATGTTTCATTATATGATGTATAGGGAAAGGCCTGTTAAAGAGTGGGTGTCAGGCTCAGCCAGAGTATTAGTGTTACTTTAATGGCCTGGGCTCTCAAGTTTTTCACAGGCTGGTGGATAATGATCGATGCAGCCGTGGTCTATCCTAAGCCAGAGCAGCTGAACCACGCCTTCCACACGTGCGGTGTGTTTTCCACATTGGCTTTCTTCATGTAAGTATGGAGGTAACTTGCAATTCAAGATCGTTTTTCTAAAAATAGTTTTTCCTTGAAATTTAGTGCTGTCTGGAATAACTTTTTAATTTAATTGATGGCTTCTTAAATGTGATAAATATATATCTCCCAGCTTTTCTAAGATGCAGCAAGAATGAGTATTGAATTTGGTCAGGTATTTTTTAACAGCTATAAAGATTATCATGATTTTTCTTATCTTTGTTAAATTGTTTAATTACTGTATTTTATCAGTCCCAAGATTGATTTTTATATTAATATTTCTGAATATCAGGGTGCTTCTTATAATCAGGGATATCTTATAATTACAGGGTTTCTTTTTGTAGGATTAAAAACTAATGGTGCATTTTTTAAAAAAGATTTATTTATTTATGCATAAAAGAACTGGGGTACAGGCCAAAGGTGTGGGGGGGTGAGAAGATTCACCAGAGCCAGAGTAGGGAACAGAACAGGCAGATTGATTGAAACACTGCTGAGGGGAGCAATGGGCAAGACAGGAGAGGTCTGCTGTTCCATGTGGGTCAATCCCTGGCCGGAGATCGAACTCATGCTGCAATGGCTGCTGATAGCTTAATAGTGCTGAGACTTAATCCCTTGCACTACCAGGGAGGTCCAATAGGATGTACATTTCTATCCACTAGGCTATTTGTTAAAATTAAAAGGTTTGTTTAGATAGTAAGAGCTTGTCTTCAGCTAGGAAAGAATGATTCCTTTTATGTGATATGTATGTGATCTGTGGCTATTTTAGCAGCATGAAAGCTGATTGGGTGATTTTGATTTGTTTTAGGATAAATGCTGTGTCCAATGCTCAGGTGAGAGGTGACAGCTATGAGAGCGGCTGTTTAGGAAGAACAGGTAAAGGCACTTTTATACTATTATTATATAAAAAACAAAGCTCCTAGTGAGTCTTTATTTGGGTCTGGTAGTGATTGTGAACAATATTTTTTGTTAACTTAAAAGATTTAGTGTTATTGACATCTGTAAGAAAGTAACTCCTTTTTGTTATATTATTATATTGTATGTATGTGTGTGTGTTGTTGCCTAGATCAATTATAATTTATGTAAAAATGAAATTGACCAGTTTTATTTAAGAGGTACAATTTGTTATGTAACTACCACCACAATTATGATATAAAAGATTTCCATTACCTTGCAGAGTTCCCTGATATCCCTTTGTAGTTAATCCCCTTTTCCCCACATCCTGGCCATGCTGATGTGCTTTCTATTTTTGTAGTTTTGCCTTTTGTAGAATTTTATATAAGTGGAATCATATAGTAAGTATCATAACATTTTAAACAAATGAGTTGTAAAGAGCTTAGCTTTTAAAAAACATCTTTTAATTAAATTCATTTTTTTTTACTGTGGTAAGAACATACACATAACATAATGTAACTCTTTCAACAAATTTTGAGGTGCACAATACAGTATTCCACAGGCACATGGTTGTGTAACAGCTCTCCACAGCTTACTCATCTTGCAGAACTGAAACTTCATACCCTTGAACAGCAGCTCCTGGTTCCCCATCCTCCAACCCCGGCAGCCCTCAGTCTACTCTTTTTGTTTTTATGAGTTTGATTCGTATTGATACGTCATATAAGTGGAATTTAAAAAGAAGGAACTCCTGCCATATATGACAATACAGATGTACCTGGAGGACTGAGTGAGATAAATCAATCACAGAGGGACAAATTAGTTTTCTTTCCTACCTGACATTTTAAATGCTGATGCAGATTTCATAACTTCACTTCCTTTGGGGTGCATGAAGAACTGGGGAGTAGGGGGGTGACAGATGACAGGCAAACATAAATTCAGAGTCTGTGTGCATGTGCACACGGTCACTTCTTAGTCTGTCTTGTGGCCCAGCCTCAGCAGGTTAGGTCAGGAATGGGGGAGAATAAAGGTGAGGAAGCACGTACTAACCAGTGAGACTCCTGTGTATAGAGCACACAATAATTTCCTTGATCATTTTTGTTTAAAGAAATTTCTATGGATAATGCTATGAATTATGTCACTATTATCTTTTTTTTTTTTTAATAGAAAATTTCATTGTCACTTACCTAAAAGGTGGATCATATATTTGCCTTGGGTGTGGCGCCAAAAACCATATTTTTTACCCTCACGGAGTCTTAGACTTTATTCCATGATTATTCCCTACCCAGTTAAAATTCATGCTGCAGTCTGTGTGTACGTGTGGGTAGTGCAAGTTCCGAAGTCTCGTGCTTCTAGAGCTAAGGGCACACTGTCTTCCAGGCATGCACAAATTTTGCCACACTAAACTTTGATACTACATAAGTGACTTGCCACTTAGCCCCATTTAATTTCCAGAAAAATTTGCAAGAAAGTATAATCAAATCATAAATGTGCTATGATGGAAATAATGAATAGTGGAGCTATAAAAGAGAACAGGAGTCAGGAGACAAAGATCATCTACTTGGAATCTAAGACAAGATGGGACTCTTAAATGTCCCTTGACCTTGATCCTGAGCTTCCTTGTAGTCAAACCCAAAAATGTGTTTTAAATTTTTTTTGCTAGACAAAAGCATGCTCATTTTTCTTGTTTACTTTTATTAGGAAAGCTATGTGTGGCCCTACATAAAGAATATGAAGGAAAATATTTTTGATGGTTCCTTTTATTCACTTATATAGTTTGAGGATGTCTTTCTCCAGGGAACTACACGTCATTGTGTATTTCTGGAGATCTGCTTATTATAATAAAATATAGATACTTAATAACCCACATCTCTCAAATATCAGCTTTTCTAACAATGCTGTGCTTTGATTAGCGCTTCCTGCATATCTGGTGCCTAAAATGTATGAATCTCTGTTCAGTTAGTAACAAAATATCTGCAATTGAAAACATTTAGCTTTATGTAATGAAAATTGGCTTGGATTTTATTTTCACTTCAGCGGAGGTTTATTTTCCTTTCGTGGGACCATGGGCTGTCAAGACCTGTGGCCAGGGTCTGGCACAGATGTTAACCTGCTTTCCCAAAGATGTGTTGAGCCTACTCAGGTGTACCAAGGATTACTTTATTAAGATTTTGCTGTATAAATTTTATATATTAATAGAAAATTTCATTGTCACTTACCTAAAAGGTGGATCATATATTTGCCTTGGGTGTGGCGCCAAAAACCATATTTTTTACTCTCACAGAGTCTTAGACTTTATTCCATGATTATTCCCTACCCAGTTAAAATTCATGCTGCAGTCTGTGTGTACGTGTGGTGTGTGGGTAGTGCATGTTCTGAAGTCTCGTGCTTCTAGAGCTAAGGGCACACTGTCTTCACAGTGTGAACTCTACTGTGAACTCTACACAGTAGAGGGTTGAATTGCTGCTTCTGACCTTGAACTTCTAAGGGGCATGTGGTACAGGCTGGCTGCCTCAGCCATAAAAGACTGTACTTCTGAAGCTGGCCACTGTTTGCCCCATTTTGAGTAATAGTGTAATTTTAACATTAATGCGGGGCCTTCGTGTGCAGTCTCTCATTCGTGTAGGCTGATGGCTCTCTGAAGCACATTTTCTGCTTCTCTTAGAGCAGCCACAACACAGGGTAGTTTTTCAGTTAGGGTTTAATGCATGTAGTCAAGTGATTACTTATGAGACTTTCCTTGTTTAGTTTACGTAGCCAGTAGTTTCTCTGCCCAGTGGAAACGTAACTTTCCTTTTATCCCCTTTCAGGTGTGGGTTATAACCCTTTCAATTTTAAAGTTTTTTTTTTTTTAATTTCAGTTTTGTCTTTTTAATCTTCAGTTAATTGTCAAGCAGAACATATGTGCCTGTCTTGAGATGTATGACATAGTGTATATTATAATAACATTGTTTGTTCCTAAGACATAGAGCGGCAAAAATGAGCAAAATGCTAAAGCCTATTCCTCACACAGGTGCTCGTGTTTGGCTCTTCATTGGTTTCATGTTGATGTTTGGGTCACTTATTGCTTCCATGTGGATTCTTTTTGGTGCATATGTTACCCAGAGTAAGTATTTATTCCTCTTTTATTTTATACAAGAGACTCAGATATATTTGACTTAGATTTGGCTTAGTCTGTTAACTCCACCTGAAGTAAAATTTGGTTTACTCAGTTAGCTTGAAGATGTGACTGCATGAAGACGTGTAAGTTGTTTGATAGAACTTCTTAGTGGCCTCACTCAGTGCAGTGAGTTATCCTGGTTGGAAATCCAAGCCACTGACAAGACCATGGAGCTCTGGACCATCTCTTGAGTTTCTCATTTCCTTCCTCACCCTGGACAGCCAGACTGGAGGCGCATTTACTTGGGTCATAGTGATAATAGTGAGACACCTACCAGGTGTACAGTTCCTTATGTGCAGAGTGCTGAAAGTCAAGTTTTCCACAACCAGTTTGGTGGTGAAAACTAGCCTGAACTGACCTGGGACTCAGTATGGCCTTTATTCCATTCCAAAAGTATACTGGGCCTCCCCTGGTGGTGCAGTGGTTGAGCGCTGGGTTGCGAGGCTGCCTGCAGCCTCTGCAGCACCGATTCGATCCCCGGCCACCGGCGAGGGTCCCACCAAAAAAAAAAAAACAAAAAAAAAACCCCAAAAGTATACAGATGTTTTCTTGCAGCAATGTGATCTGTTTGTTTATGGACTGCTGGCCCAGACCCAGCTGGGGGTGCTGTGAACTATTTATGCTTTGTGTTACCCATTCTTAAATCTGAAAAATTTTGAATTCCAAAACAAATCGTGCCCTAACGGTTTCAGATAAAGAGGTTGTGGATCCTGTTATCCTTCTGTTCACCGGAAGCTCCTCTTTTCAATCTCAGCCTGTCATTTTTCAATCATAGGTATAGGGGGAGTGTTTTAAGGGCAAAACTGAAAATGTTTGTGGAGCTTTCCTGCAGGAACAGTGGATACAGAGGAGGGACAGTCTTGGCCCCTCACATCCATCCAGGACCAGTCTCAGCAGGTGCCTGGAAGCGTGGTTTACTGCTTCTCTTCCTTCACCCAAAGATGGCAGTCAGATTCAGATAACACAGCTTATTCGTCATCTGACCCCTCTGTCTCTGGTGCCAATCACTCTACTTCACTGTCACATTTCCTTGTCCTGACCCACAGCTGACCTTTGAATGCTTTTGAGGGAATTCCTTAAGTTTTGTTAGTATAAAATCTTGGAATACCTGTCCCTTTCACTTGGTACAAACAAGTCAGTACAAGTAGTTGACTAATGTTTAAATAACACTCCTCACCAAGTAGATTAAAATGTGTTATTTTAATTAATTAAAAATACTAATAGAGCACACACTAATTGGCATATCCTATAATCCAACCATTGAAAGTATACAGTTCTGTGTTTTTAGTAGATTCACAAAGTTGTGCTACCATCACCACAGTCCAGTTTTGGAACATTTTTATCAACGCCAAAGAAACCCTTTACACATCAGCAACTATTTCCTATTGCTCTTTCCTTTAGCCCTGGTCACCCACTGTCTGCTTTCTGTCTGTAGATTTGCCTCGTTATTGTCACTGGATTTGTAGGGGAAGTACATTTTGAGCTCATTTCATCCCTGACTCTAAGAAGGGTGAGCAGCTATTTTTGATTTCCTTGGAAATCTGCAGTTTCTGGAAGCTACATATGAAACTTTCTAGTTTTTATTGGGGAAAATGGGGATAAATTGTCACTCTTGAAAGATGTGGAAGGAGCCAGTAAGTTTGGAAAGGTTGTACATTCATTGGTTATATCTATAGAACGGGTATTTTTTTTAAAGATTTATTTGTTTATGCATGCAAGAGTTGGGGTGTAGGCCAGAAGTCGGGGGCCAGTGTGAGGATTCGCCAGAGATAGTGGGGAGCAGAACAGAACAAATACACTGGGGAGCAGTGGGTGAGACAGGAGAGGTCTGCCGTGCTATGTGGGTAGCTCCCTGGCTGGGGATCGAACTCTTGCTGCAGTGGCTGCTGATAGCTTCATAGTGCTGAGACTTGCACCACCAGGGACCTGGTATATTTTGAGAAATTTCATTATGGATCTCATCTTCATACTTCTACAGCATTGGTCATAGAGTCACTTTTCTCTTTATAAATGAATATGCTTTTACTTCAGAGAGCATTTCTAACGCATTTTAAATCTTTTACTGTACAGATTTCCTTCAAGTGTTATAATCGAATACCGCCTAACATTTATTACATAACACTTTCATTTATATAGTACTTAGGACAGTGTGTTGTACTATTCTATGCACACTATGGTTAGGTGCTATTGTAATGCCTGTTTTATAGATGAAGAAACTAAGGCATAATGAGGTTAAGTAATTTGCTTGTAGCCATTCAGTCAGTCAGTCAGTGGTAGAGTTAGGATTTAAATACAGGGGTCTGGCTCAAACTTGACACTCTCTGCCATGTACAGGGCTGCAAGAGCTAAAAACGGAACCACTCCCTTCATGATAGCCAATATTTTTAGTCAGCATTAACAGTCATAAAATTTAACTATCCACAGAATTTCAGTGGTTTCCAATTTTTTCCCTTTTTCTTCCTATGAAGACAGTAGCTTTTTCTTCTGGGAGAGATTCCATGAAAAAGCTTGATGACAGCTTCTGATGGTCCTTTTTATATCTCACATTGCGCAGTGAGATTCTTGAAATAGTGAAAGAAAGTAAATGAACAGACTATCAAATAATCACAAATTTAATTTGATCTAACATTTTGTATTTCTACAGGAGTAACAAGGTGAGCTGTTGCTTCCTCTGCAGTTTGCAGGCAGTGAAAACTAGAGCAGTTACTTCAGACAGAATGAAAGCCTGATAAATGCATTGTCTTTTGTCCAGACTGAGAGCAATCCTTGGTTTTGAGAAGATGAGATTGACTTTTTCTTATTGTGATTTAATTGTAGATTTCTTAGAGTTAAGGGATAATAGCAGCATTATACAGAGCATGGCAGTATGAATGGCACAGATACTTTGCCATTGTGCCTTTTGCTTCTATATATAATCTCCTAATGTGTTTTACTTTATATGTGCAGATACTGATGTTTATCCAGGACTAGCTGTGTTTTTCCAAAATGCACTTATATTTTTTAGGTAAGTTGCCTAATTTCTTAACCAAACCTATAACATTTAAAGGATTATCATCTTTATTATATGAGCAGCAAGGACAATAGAACATGTATAAATCCCTTAAGTTAGGTAAAATATATAGAACTTATTATAAAAGGTAAAAAAATTCTATTGTATAAGAATGTAACAGCCATCTAATTAGGGGTCCTGCTATGTGCCAAATCCTCAGCTGGATGTTATGTATGTTACATTTTAAATTCCCGTTTAATTATCTTAAGTCTGTAAATCAGTTTGTGCTGTAGTTTTATGAATGAAGAAATAAGGCTCAGCACTTAACTTAAGGACACCCAGCTAGTCAGTGCAGAGCTGAAATCTGAACCCTGACTGCTGTTTCCACAGCCTTTCGTTAAACAAACAAAAAAGCATGACAAAAAACATAGTAGGTACATTTATTGAAGAAAGAAAGAAATCAGAACTCACATAACAGGGTATAAATTGTAATAAAAAAAACCTGATTGGGAAACTAGATTTTCTGCTTGGTTTTCAAGATAAAGTATTTAAAAAAATATTAAAAGTATTTTTTTGCATCAGTCTTCTCAAAAGTCCCAAAAATGAAACCCAAATCCTGTGCTTTTCAGTTTGAATGTCTTTTAATATCAAAATAGGTCTTTTAGTTATCTATTTGTCAAATTATATTCCTCTCATGAGCCCCACACAATCATAAAGATTTAAGTCTTGAATTTTGTTTTGTTACCAGTTTTGAGCAATTTGATTATGGTGTGTGGTTCTTTTGCTTGCAGTTCATTGAGTGTTTTGGATTTGTGGGTTTATGATTTTTATCAAGTTTGAATTCAGCCATTATTTCTTCAAGTAGTATTTTTTTGGTCTATCCTGCCTTCTTGTATTTAGTTGCATGTATATTAGGCGCAAGTTCTCATGTTTGTTTTCTCTGTGTTTCAGTTTGGATAGTCTCTACTGTTATATCTTTAAAGCACCATCAAAGCAGTGCGCATCTAGGAATATTTAGTCCCCTGACTAAGGCAGTTCCCTTCCTGATATCCATGAAGTCTGAGGTTTCCCCACCCGGCCTAAGAGATTGGGAAGTCTTCCCAGTGGAAGATGGGAGCTCTGGGAATTGTTTTCTCCAGCACACTTTGCCTTGCCTGGGGCACTTCCTCAGTGTAGCAGCTGTGTGCCCTACCCAGAGACTGGCAAGTCATCCCGCCAACTGTGGGCCTCCTGTTCAGGGGTACAGTTCCTGCATCTCTGGCCACTCTTCCTTGTTTCCTTTGCAAGTTGATCTTCTACCTCCTGGCCATTAAATTTGAAGTTCCTTAAGGCACTGTTACAGAATTTTCCTTCTCTACTTTCTTTACTTTCTCTAGGTGAGTTCTTCATACTTAGGACATTAACAATTGCCTCTGTGCTGATGAGCACAGATTTCTCCATGCACGTTTACACAACCTGGCAACTTCCCACTGAGATCTTCTTGGGTGGTTGACATTTCAAATCCAACGCATCACCACGTCTTCAAAAGTCAGGGTTCCAGAGTGTTCCATCTCTGCACCTCTCCCTTTCCTGCTACCCTTTGCTGAGAAAGTTTTAGCTCTCAGTCTGTCGTCACTTCCTAAGGAACACCTTCTTGTCCTCTGTGTGGGTCAGATGCTTATATTCCATGCTCATGGTACCATGGTCCTCACCTTTATAGCAATTTTCTTTTGTAGTTGGAATTTGATTGTCTCTCTTATTAGACTCTTAACTCCGCTAGTGAGTACATTATTTTCGTTTTGACTCACATTGCAGTCCTAGCACTCGGCCAGAGCCAGGGGCATGGCCAGTACTTAGTCTACAGTAATTATTTGTTAAATGGATGCAGAACTGCAACTGGTCTGTTCAGGATGCTTCAGCCATTGCAACTCAACTGTCACAGAGCACTCTACTCCCACAGCTGAAAAGTGGTCCCACAGCCTGACACTGAGAAACGCCCCTTTTCCTTAGGAGCTCACTGTCCAGTTGAGAAAGGATGTTTAAGTTCAGCTATCAAGGTCAACACACTGCTTTATAAAACAAACTAATTCAGACCAGTCCCACACCTTGAATTGTAGAAATTGATACAAAGTGATGAGTGAGGTACCTGTCAGTATATTTAGAAAGTGAATTCCCTGTGATCTTTCCTCATGATTTATTTTCATATCTTTCTAGCACTCTGATCTACAAATTTGGAAGAACCGAAGAACTATGGACCTGAGACCAATTCTTAAATCACATTTTCCTTTTGTTATATTCTATTTGTAGATAAGTTTTTATCTTTCAATATAATTTACACATTGCCAAATGGGAGAGATTGTACATTAAATGTTTTGTTTCTTTACACTTTTATGCTCTGAGTTTTGAAGTACTTTTATGAAAATTTCTGTCATTTTTCATTGACTTGACTGTTAATCTATTCATAATATGAAATATAGCTGGGATGATGAGTATCGGCTTTTTTATTCCTGAGGATGGAAAGCTTGATGTGTTCACGATGCCAGGGTTGCCTCATCATGTCATTTTAAAGGTCACTACTTGGTTTTAGATTCTCTAATTTCAGAACTTGGGTGAAAATACAGTTCCGTTGATCTGAAATAAGCACTGAGCCATTAAAAAGGGCAAGTTGTAGTTTATTTTGGTTTAAAAATGAGATTTTTTTTTAACAAGGAAAAGTGTTTGTTCTTATGTATTAAAAATGGACTTTTATACGGAGATTTTTTAAATACCTGAAGGACTAGTTTGAAAGTCTCTTTTGAAAGTTTTTAATGTGACTTTGAGAAGTGATGGGTAATGCTTGATCAGATAAGCTCAGTTTTGTATGGTTAATGTAAAAAGACTAAGACAGCTCAGCAACATGCTTCTTATAAAGGCAGCTTGAACAATCTGTCTAGTGGGACTCTCTTGTCAGCCTACTGTTATCTGACAATACAAAATTTAATAGTAAGCAAGTGTGAGACAACTGCAGTTAAACAGCATGAACCATATAACCAAAGTGAACAATTAGTTTCAAGTTAAAGCAGTTCTTCCCAGCAAGAATTATTATGAACTAGTGAAAAATAAGGCATTTCATCCCCGTAGTTAGACTGCAAGTCTCTTTTAACTTCAGCTCTCAAATTCTGGGTGAACTCTTCCTGCAGAATATATCTTCAATCTGAAAGTTCATACTCAGACAGAAACTTCTTTTGCCAACTTTGAAACACTGTATTTGCACTGTGTGTGTGTTTACTCCTTATAAGAGATTTCAAAGGCACCCTTGGGTCTGCACTGCTACTTGTTGCTTTCCTTTGTTACACAGGTTTGTTATACAGGGAAAAGGTGATTTTATAGACTTTGGTTGTAAGACAAAATATCAATGGTATTATATGCAGCTTCTAATGCAAGCCTTATTTTGCTTAACTTCCACCCTCTTTGAGGGGATTGACTGCACAGAGTATGAAGCAGCTGTGGATTGCTGTGCCTTTGTCTAGATACCACCTTGTTTAATTCCTTCTTTGTTGTTTTGTCCTCAAAATGTCAGTAAACTTTGTCTTGCTTCCAACATATTGTAAGACTAAGTACTTGTTTCCATTCTCTTGTAATCTATTGCAATAAATATTACTTCTCACACGTTCTGATACCTTCAGATCTGTTGGAGAAAAACCTAAATTGGTTTATTGTTTATTATTTAATCATTCAAGTGGGCCCAGTCAAAGAAGCAGTTTATTTCTGTAAAGAGAAATATATTCAAACTTGTAAAATGCCAGTATGAAGGCTAATGAAGACATCTCAGAAAATCAACTGAAAATAATAGCTATTTTTTCCTATTCTTGACTCTGCCCTGAATTTAATTGTGAGCAAGTTATTTAATTTCCCTGTTCCCCCATTTCAAAAGGGAAATTATGTTATATCTACTTTCTTTTTTTTTTTTTAATAGAGGCATGTTTTTTTTATTTGTTTGTTTGTTTTGTTTATACATGCACTGGGTACAGTCAGAAGCGTGGGAGGGTGAGAGAATTCACCAGGGTCAGAGCGGGGAGCAGAGCAGGCAGAAGGACCGAAGTACACTGCTGAGGGGAGCAGCGGGCGGCAGGAGAGGTCTGCGCACCATGTGGGACCCTCCTCTGGTGGCCGGGGAGCAGCCGGGGATCGAACCGGCGCCGCAGAGGCCGCGGGCAGCTTCGCAACCCAGCGCTCAACCGCTGCGCCACCTGGGAGGCCCTGTTATATCTACTTTCACAGACACTATGAGTTAGAAAAGGTAGAGTCCTTCATAATCATTTAAAAACATGGGATTCTATGAATATAAACATCTCCCTGTTACGCAGGTTGAATGACTGTTGAATCTGAGTGCCTTTAGTGTTGTGTATAGCCCAATATTACCAAAACATTCTACTTTATTAATTACACTGTTTGAGATCCTTATTGCATTCTTTGTGGAGTTGCCACTGATGAAAAACCTCAGAGGCTTGATTTTTCCATTATATAAACTTGATGTATATCAGCATAGTAAAGCAGGATTGAAGACAAAGATTGATGCTGTCAAACCACGTAACATTTACTACTTGAACAAGAGACCCAAGAGTGTTTGACATAGATTCTTTGAATTCAGTTTCTTTACTTTTTTTTTTAATGATGGGAGTGCTTTTAATCATCATGTCAACTCAGGAGCCATTTTCATGGCTCCATTTTAGATTTAATTACTTCATAAGTATTTTTTTAAAGATTTATTTATGCATACAAGCAATGGGGTACAGGCCAAAGGTGTGGGGGTGTGTGTGTGCAAGAGAACCCACCAGAGAGCAGGGAACAGAACAGGTGGATTGACTGAAACACACTGCTGAGGGGAGCAGTGGGTGAGTCAGGAGAGGTCTGCTGCGCCATGTGGGCAGCTCCCTGGCCGGGGATCAAACTCATGCTGCAGTGGCTGAGGACAGCTTCACAGGTTGCATCTTAACGCCTTGTGACACCAGGGAGGCCCCTCATAAGTAAATTTAAAAGTAGCCACCACCATGTGGAGGAAAAGAAAACTTTATTTTTGGAGCCAAAATTTGAGGGTTAACTCAGGAGAGAGCAGTCCAATGGGAGAAGGATCCCAACCAGCTGTTTTCTTTGCCCCTTCCTGAGTAGGATCCAGCTTACACATACAGTTAGGATAGGCGTGATTGGGGTTGTTCTCAAGCAAGCTTATCAGGGAAACAAAATACTAGTTTTCACAGGCATTTAACTTCCCTAACAACCTGAGAGAATGACAGGCATTCTTTAAAGTCAGGATTGTTCTCTCTTTGGTAGATGCAATTTGCATGTTAGTCTGTAATGGCAGGAAGAGGCACAGTGCAGGTTCTCTACAATTCCAGCAGACAGGGTAAGGAGAAGAGAGTCCTAAGTGGCTTTTCAGGCTTTATTGGGATTTACCAGGTACACAGCAGGCAGGGGTGCTGGGGGGCCAGGAGGCTGGCAGACCTCCCAGCCCCCAGCAAGTCTTCACTCTGGGCTCTCTGGTGTTCTCCCGTGGCCTTGTTCTCTGCTCCTCTCGTGGTTCTGCTGGTGTACCAGTGATGTAGCCCTTATAAGTTCATTCTCTCAGCCCAGGTGTACCCACTTACGCATGCCCACATCCTATTCCAGGTGCCCACCATCTGGCATGCATTCAGGACCACAGGGATCCATCATCTATCCTAATGGCGGGAGGGCAGAAAAGTCTGATATCATTTCCTTACCCTACATAGTTTCATGCCAGCAAGCACAGGAAAGGTTCACAATGGATTCAGGCAGACAGATAAAGGAGAGTCCTGGAGCCTTTGGTGGATTTTTAGGCCCTAATGCTCTCTCAGGGAGCCAGCTACACGGGCACGCCAGGCATGGAGGAGGCACGGTCCAGGCAGGTAGGGGGCTGGGAGGCAGGCAGGCAATGGAACCTCCCAGCCCTGGACGAATCTGCTCTTTCCCCGGGCTCTCTCTGGCCTTTCCCTCCTGTGGTCTCTCCTCCTATGCAGTCCCACTGCTGATCCTCTCATAGCCATAGTCTGTCTCTGAGTGACACTGCCTTGAGCCTCTAGGCTCAGGTGCGCACACTTAAGCATGCCCGCACTCATGCTCCAGGTGTCAAAATCAAGATAAAAGCTGCCAGGGTTAACCTCCCCCGGTCTCTCACCCACATCTGTTTCAAACAGTCCAGGACCAAGAAGCAAGTGCAGTTTCCACATGTGCTTCCTCCAGTTCTCCTTGCTCTCCATCCTGCTTCCTTCCTTCTCCAGTCTCCTCCAGCTACTCCTCCCCCTTGCTCAGCTCCACCCTCTTTGGGTGGGGCAGGGAACCTGGAACTTCCCCCTTTTTCCTGGGCACCACCCTGTTACACAAATACTGAACCTTTGCTCCTACGGGAAGTAACAGCTAAGCCTGTTGGTACATTTTCCCTCACTATCAAGGTCAATATATGACTTTGATACATGTGTATAAGCTGTTTTAAAACACCTTATGTAGCATATTGTTAGTTCTTTAACCTTGAACTCAAAACAACACTCACTCAGGCCTGAAGGAAGCTTCTATAACTCATGTATTTTCTCCATATGCCCCAACAGAGCCTTCTTATTCTTTGGAACACTAGAGAGCTCTTCAGTTCTATGCTTGGGGACCATTTTACACAGTGAAAACACTAACAAAACACAAACATGTGACAATGGCACTAATTGACCATGAAATAGAGCACTTGTTTATAGCACGAGAGCTGAAACAAGGCAGAGTGCTCTTGTTCCACCTCTGCTGGGCTTGTGCAGTTGAGGCAACTCAAATTATTCCACACTCTGCAAGTACCTGGACGGTGCCATGAATATTCATCTGGGAGTTCCGTTTTAGCAAGTAGGTTGTTGACAATGGGCTCACTGCCTGATGCACATAGAAGCCAAAATTATGACACTGACTTTGAGAAAAGGATGAGTTTATTGGAAGTCTACAGGCAAGGAGACAGAAGACAAGGCTGAAATCTGTCTCCTCAATCTGGGGCTCTAGTGCCAGCAAGCCCAGGGCAGGTTCACTATCCATTCAGGCAGACGGATAAAGGAGAGTCCTGGAGCTCTCAGTGGGTTTTTCAGGCTGTAGTGCTCTCTGAGGGAACCAGGTACACAGGCACACTGGTCAGGGAGGCTGGCATGCAAGGAGGAAGACACCGGTCAGGCAGTGGGGGGCTGGAGGTAGGCAGGTAACAGAGCCTGCTGCCCTCAGCAGTGGATTTCAGTAAATTCACCTGTTCTGCTCCCCACTCTGTCTCTGGTGAATCCTTTCACCCCCTGCACCTCTGGCCCACACCCTAGTTCTTCTACACACACACACACACACACACACACACACACACACACACACACACACAATTTTAAAAAAAGAAAAGAAAAAGGCTTCCAATGGAGTCATTCGTACCAGGCCTCCGACCAGACTTAATTGCAGTTTTGGCCTCTCCCAAAAGTGTATCTTAAATCAATCTGGAGTTCCCTGATTGGCACCAAGGTGGCCCACGCACTGAGGCAAGCTAGTTTTACCTGAAATGGATCTTTCTTTTGTTAAACTGCTCCACCTCCTTTTTCTCTATAAATACTCTATTTTGTGTGAGGCCTTGCAGCCCCTAGATTGGATGCTGCTGATCCCTGAATTGTTCAATAAAGCCAATTAGATCTCTAAATTTGTGAATTACATTTTTTGTTAATACTGCAAAACTGGCAATTTACTGCAGTATTTTGAAAAAATAGGGAGAAATTGTTGAGGGAGTGACTCTTGGAGAATAGAATGTAGGAATTAGCAAAAGGAGCAGGAAACTTAGGTGTGGATGCTGCTGGCTTGGGAAAAAGCCAGTGATAGCCAGACGTGGAGAATAAAGTAGTAAGGATGGAGCTAGGAAGAGAATTTTCACTGGCAGGGTCGCTAAAAGATTCTGGTGTGGGAGATGAGGTTCCTTTATGTGTGTGTGTGTGTGTGTGTTTGATACATGGATTAAGGTGGGATTCTTTATGTTTAGGTTGATTTACCTAATTCTAGCTCTGCCATGTATTAGCTATGAGACCCCAAGACTGACCGCCTGTCTGTGTTTGCGAATTAGCCTGAGGAAATGCTTGTGCCGGGAAACTGCCAGTGGTTACTGTGCACATTCTTTTTTCCCATGGCTTTGCCTGGAGAAAGGGTGTGTCCTTCTGCTCTCAGTGACTCCCCACTCTGGACACAAGATGGCGTGCCATCCTAAAAAACCCAAGAATCTCAAGTCAGCTGGTTTAATCATTACTCTCAGGTTTACCTTTTTGTGGCAGTATTAACGCAGTTGAAGCCATTTTACATGGGGTTTTCTGAGCATGACCGATGCTGCTTCTGCTTTGTCTTTTTTATTTTTTTAGCTGTAGCAAATAGGATATTTTAAATTTCCACCACATGTAAGGGTAGTCGGGTAGGCCTTCCCAATCCTGATGGGTTAATGCCAGTGTAGAGGGCACTGGATCTTTGATTTTGGAACATCTTGGGCTACCTCCCTCACCCCCAGGTGGAGATGGAAAACCAGAGAACTCTTCAAAAAGGCCGTGAAGAGAGCTTATTTCCAACCTCCATACCAGGGGCCAAAAATTGATCCACTGTGTTGTTATGTGTGTTTATTTCCTATCATGAAAGTTGTGGAATTAGACATTGAGTAACTTTTTACTTTGACTTTTAACTTTAGGCTTACAGGAAAGTTACAAAAATAGGTCAGAGAATTCCTGCATAACCTTCAGATTACCTCAGTGGTAACATGTTACCACCTTTTAGTCATTTTTTTCCTGAGTTATTTCTCAATATGCTGCAGACAGAATGCTTTTTAAAAAGCCCTTCACTGCTATAGGGTTTATTTCCCCATCTCACAATTGTGCAATCCCAAAGTAAGCACTTAATTCCAATTTTGCCAGTTGTCCTAGCAATGTGCTCAGAATTGTGTCCATGATCACTTGTCGCGTTGAATTGTGTTCCTTCAGGGACCCTCAACTCCCCAACGAGTCTTCAGCCTTTGGCTTTTGCAACTAGGTCATTCTTTTTTTTTCTTTTTTTAAATTTTATTTTTAAGATTTATTTATTTATTTATTTATTTACACAAGCACTGGGTAGGTACAGTCAGAAGCGCGGGAGGGTGAGAGAATTCACCAGAGCCAGAGCAGGGAGTAGAGCAGGCAGAAGGACCGAAGTACACTGCTGAGGGGAGCAGCGGGCGGCAGGAGAGGTCTGCGCGCCATGCGGGACCCTCCTCCGGTGGCCCGGGAGCAGCCGGGGATCGAACCGGCGCTGCAGAGGCTGCGGGCAGCTTCGCAACCCAGCGCTCAACCACTGCGCCACCGGGGAGGCCCTGCAACTAGGTCATTCTGAAGATTGCAGACAAGTTGTTTTTTGGGTGCCCCTCAATCTGGATTTGGCTGGTGATCCTCCATGATTAAATTCAGGTTATGGGCTTGGGGCAGGGATATAGAAGCAAGGTTTTGTTATGTCTTTGTAGACCTCGATTCAGCAAGCAGCCATCCATCCCGGGGTTGGTGATTTTACTTCGCCTGCTCAAGGCGGCTCTACCAGGTTTCTCCACTGTGAAGTGATTACTTTTCTTGCTGGTACCTACTAAAGTACTTTGTGGGGAGAGAGACTGATTAACAAATCAAACGGAACAAATTTATTGTCTTTTTTACTCACAGTGTGATCTGCCCTGTGATTGGACTGAAGGGATTTACAATTTGTCTGTACCAGGCATGGAACCAAGCTATTCCGCAGTCGGGCAAACCTGGGTGAGAGGAATTTCTCACATTGCTGCACATAAGCTAATGTCTGTGAAAGGATTGGCGCAGTAAAGAGAAGGAGAGCCAGACCAGGTTTGTCACAGGCAGGAAACTTTATTTGAGCTCCTGGGCGAGGTTCACGGACCCAAGGTGAGGATCGGTGAAGTCACGCGCCTTGCCAGGGGGAGGGATGCTTTTCTAGGGTGAGGAGAGGTCTGGTGGGGAAACTGGGTTTGCTCGGTTTGGTAGGGCGGGAAAAGGTTTATTGTCTGATTTTTTCTATGTGGGGGCTTCCTCATTCCTGCCCCCTGCGGCGACCTTTCAGTCTGTCCTAGAGACGCTGAGAGAGCCCCTTTCTCTGCCCCATTCAGCCTCCAGCTCCTGTGAGGGGAGGCTCCTTTTCCACCCCAGGCCCATCAGTCAGCACCTCACCCTGCTGGACTTGCCAGCCAGCACAAGGGGCTCATCCCGCGCCTTCCTCCCCAGGACACACACCTGCCCAGTGGGCTGCCTGCAAGTACGGGCACTGCACAGCCTCCAGGGGTTGCTATTCACAGGCGTGTACCAGAGAGTTACTGTTCATGTAAATAGAAAATTTGAGGCACTTGAAAGCGTGTCTTGAAAGATGGTTGCTTTATCTAATCCACACAAAGGTAGCTGGTGGGATCAAGGCCACTGCCAGCCTGAGATCACCGTGTCTAGGAGACCTGTTGTTGGCACCGGGTCCACTTTCCTCCATCTGTCTCCATAATCCTAGACTGTGCCAGCCTTCCCTAGCAGGTGGGTCACAGAACAGCCTGAGGCTCACATACCCCGCCTCCCACATGTGACCCCCTAAATTAGATCCTCTCAGGGCCAAATGGGGTTTTATGGGGCCTTCTGTGACTGTGTAACCTAAACGATGGGGTGGGCCTGCTTTCTCCTGTCCCATGAGCACTTGGTTGCAGAGATGAGGGGTCAGCAAACTTTCTTTGAAGGGCCAGGTGTAACTATTTTAGGCTTTGCAGGCAGTTTCTGTTGTCAAGACGCTATTCGGCTTGCAGGGCAGAAGCCACCCTGGACAATCCACCAGTGAATGGGTATCACGGCCTTCCAGCTGAACTTCATTTATGAAATGCAAACTTCATGTACTTTTCATGTGTGATGAACTAGTCATTTGATTGTTTCCATCATTAAAAAATGCAAAACTTATTGTTAGTTCACAGGCCACGCAAAAGCAGGAAGCTGGCTGGATTTGGCCCGTGGGTTGTAGTCGCTCTGGTACAGAGGCTTCATGAGATTGCTTCCAATGCAAATGTTTTATGATTTTGTACTTGGCTTGACTAGAAATTATACTCCCAAGTGTCTGTAATCCCACTGACTGGTCATTTGATTTACAAAGTAGAACCATGTGTTTCTAATTGGAAACACCTGTAAGAAAAGGAGACTCTTTAAAATTCCCTTTCCTTTCTCTGGGTTTAATAGGCCAGCCCTATGCCTACTTGGGATGCCTACTGAGCTAGGATGGGAAGAGCCTGGAAATGTGGACTCCAGGTGAGCCCAGTGTGGTGTTGCTGTCTGTCCCTCCCCCAGGAGGCAATGACCTTGGAGAGCCTGGTCCGTGAGCGGCATCTGTAATTGTGCTGGCCTCGGGCTTGGACTCTGGGTCTGTCACTAACTTAAACGAAGAAGAGCCTTTCTGGGCCTGGACCACAGCATCCTCCTGCTCCAGGACACCACACTAGACTGTTTCTGCCCTGACCCCAGCTTGGCCTTCTCCGGCTCCAGCCCCCACAACAGCCTATTTGCCCTGAGGAGCTGTTACCCATTTTGTGCAGAGTGGCACACACAGCTTCCTTTTCTTCCTTTTTTTTTTTTTTTTAAGATTTATTTTTATTTATTTATACAAGCACTGGGTACAGTCAGAAGCGTGGGAAGGTGAGAGAATTCACCAGAGCCAGAGAGGGGAACAGAGCAGGCAGAAGGACCGAAGCACACTGCTGAGGGGAGCAGCGGGTGGCAGGAGAGGTCTGCGCGCCCTGTGGGACCCTCCTCCGGTGGCCGGGGAGCAGCCGGGGATCGAACCGGCGCTGCAGAGGCTGCGGGCAGCTTCGCAACTCCGCTTAACCGCTGCACCACTGGGGAGGCCCTTCCTTTTCTTTTTTATTGAAGTAACATTGTGTAGGGTAAATGAATTAATCAGACTTTTTATGCCACTAGCCTCTGTGTCTGTCACCTGTGGCCTTGATGGTGTTAACGCAGAAGGCTCTTGGGAGCGTGGATGCGGGCACACGTGCCTGATTGTGGACACCTGGAGTGTGGGTGTGCACGCATGTGGACGTGTGCACACCGGAGCCTAGAGGCTGGGATAAAAGCAGCGTCAGCGTCAGCAATGAAGAGGATGAGCAGCGTGACTATAGAACAGGTGGGACCACGAGATGACGCCAGAGAGAGCGAGAGAGGCCAGAGAGAGCCCAAAGAAAGATGGTAGAGATTTGGGGGTCTGGGAGGCTCCGTTGCTTGCCTCCCAGCCCCGCTGCACGGCCCATGCCAGCCTCCTCACAAGCCAGCCTCCCGGCCTGCTGTGCCTGAGCGCCTGGTTCCCTGAGAGCATTAAAGCCTGAAAATTCCACCGAGGGCTCCGGGGCTCTACCCGTCTGCCATAGTGACCCTGCCCTGCTTGGCGGCACAAGACATTGCATCATAACGTGATGTAAGTTTCGGGTGTTCATGGTCGACAACCAATGTGGGAATGTACATTACATTAAGGTCACCAAAGTCCAAAAATCTCCCCTTCTCCTCTTTATCCTGATCTACCTGACCTGTCCCCTTTTCTCTTCATTTCTGGCAACCAGAATTGGTCTTGTCGCCCACAGGTTTATTTTCTGTAGTCAGACGAGCTGAGCTAACTTTCTGCAGGAAGTGAGCTGTCTGCCTTTCCTCGGGGGGGGGGGGGGGGGGGGGGGGGGGGGGGGCGGGGCGCCCTATTAGCCAACTCTTTCTAGCCCATCCCCCCTCCTGTGAGAGCCCATGGCCCAGCAGGGGAAACTTCTGTCTTCAGTTTCCTAAATGAGTTATGCTGGGTCTTTGCTGTTTCCACTTTTTTTTTTTTTTAAAGATTTACTTATGCATACAAGAACTGGGGTACAGGCCAGAGGTGCGGGGGTGGGGTGAGGTAAGAGGATTCACCAGAGACAGGGAGGGGAACAGAGCAGGGGGATCTACTGAAATCCACTGCTGAGGGGAGCAGTGGGCGAGACAGGAGAGGTCTGCTGCGCCATGTGGGTCAGCTCCCCTGCCGGGGATCGAACTCATGCTGTACTGGCTGGCGATAGCTTGATAGTGCTGAGACTTAACCCCCTGTGCCACCAGGGAGGCCCGAAATTGAAGTTTTTGATGCAGTAATTTTTAAATGTTGAGACTAGGAAAAACATCAAAATAACGTAAAGTGGGAAGAAGAGACTACACGCAGACTTTAAAAAGTTAATTATCCAATCTTTTATTTCTAGCTTGGAAAAAAACTTTAAATTACTAGAAAAATGTTTATAGGATTAACCATGTTTGGCCAGGAGTCTGCTCAGGAGGCCACGTCTCTTAATGGGTCAGGCTGAGACAGGTAATGTGACCTGTCTGAGGGACCCCAACTCATTTTCCAGAGTTGAGGGATGGGGGGGGAGCCAAGTCTCTTGACAAGTGGGTCCAGCCAACAATGAACAAGGAGCCAGTGCCATTTTGCCAACAAATAATTACATGTCCCTTTAGTGTTTAAGAGAAATCTTATTTTTTCCTGGATTTCTCTTTAGCATCATTCTAGAAACTTGTATGATTTAGAAAATTCTTGGAAAAAGTAAGCTTGTCTCCCCTAGAGACCCTCCCACCTCTCCCTAGGTTCTGCTAGGCTTTTATGAGGCAGGAATATGGGGTCCAGGGCCGGCAGGATGCCAGAAGCTTCCTTGGCTTAGAGTCCTCTTCCCATAGGCCGGTGGCCGGACCAGCGCTTTGGTTCAAAGTGCTTTGGAAACATCGCGCTCCTCTGGAGACGATACAATGGACACGGAGTCCCAGGCGTCATCCTTTGGGGCGCTGTTCCTGTCCAAGGACTCTAGGATCGGCTCAGTTGGGTCCTTTAAGTACTGGAAAAGGTCAAATAGCAACACCATGATTAGTTTATCAGCCCGAGATCAGCCTTTCAAACCTTCATTTTAGTCGGTACCATCAGCCTCTATTCAGGTGAAGCTTCCTGTTCTGTCCACATGAAACAGCTTCTGCGCTCTCCACCCCTTGCCACGTGAGTAACTGTAATGCCGACCCAAGGGTCAAACAAGTCAATGCATAAAAGTGTGGGGCGTGCCTGCAGCGTCTCTGAAAATCTAAGTTTTCAGTGAAGGAGGGCGAGGGACCTTTAGTTCACCTACATTGGGGGCAAAAGTGGGAAAGTTCTGGATCTTTTTCTCAGTCTTTGCCCACCCTGGTGGGTTCTGCTCCATGCAGCGCAGGAGCAGAGGGTCTGGGGTGTCCTGGAGGGTCAGAAGGCCCAGGTCCCGCCTACACAGTGAGAGTTCACAAGCCTCACTTTCCCTTTCATTCCTGCCCGCTTTAGGCTTAGCCATCAGATCACCAGGTTACCAAGAAGCTGGCGCCCGGCTCTTGGAAACGCCGCCAGATAGTGAAATACAGTTAAGTTTGGGGCTGGCAGATTAAGAGGAAGCTGGTGGATCATGTGCACTTGCGAAACCTCAAAAATACATGTGAAAAATGATTCATAGTTCTCATGTAACTCCAGTGACCTTTGATAAACATTTTCACACTTTCCCAGGAAAGTGAACTGAAAGATTTTATGGTTTAGATGCAAACCCCAAAGCAACAATTAGTAGTAAGTTCACTCACGAGGGCCCAGTTGGTAGTTTTGCTGCAAGCAATTATTAAGGATTATTAATGCTTGTAGAACCCTGAGGCCCTCTAGGACCGTTACTTTATGACAATATTAACTAGAGAGGGTTTTTTGGCTTTTTTGGGGTGGTAAGAAGGCTTTCCACTGTCGGTTCGAGGTGCACAGCAGGTTTCTAGAACTCAGTCATCTTCATAATGGAAACTTCAGACCCACTGACCAGCAGCTCCTGTTTTCCTCCCCCAGACCCTGGTAACCACCATTGTACTTTCTGCTTCTATGGCTTTTTCAAGGTGTATTTTTAGATGAAGTACCTCCCCTTTTTACTCTTACATCATTGTGAATTTTTGGACAGGATTTGATTTCTCCCCTCAGGTGTGGCCCCCGGGTTCTCCCACCACCATGGCCCCCATGATCCATCACCCCAGTCCCTGTGACCTTCCCTCCCCTGTTTGAGCCTCCCCTACCCGTGCCTCAGATCTATGGTCAGCTTGCAACGTCTTGCTTTGACTATCTTACTTGCATCTTATGAAAGTGCATGATGCAATATGGTCTTTTTGTGACTGGTTAATTTCAGCCAACATCATGTCCTCCCAGAAGGCAGAGGAACAGTCCACTGTATGTCCACACCACCCTTGCTTCACTCATCCACCCACGGTGGACATATGGGTTGCTCCCATGTGTGAACATCACCCACACCATTGTGAACTCAGATCTCCGTGTCCGTGGCTGTGTCCATGGCTGTGCTTGGAGGTGTAACCCGGGGGCCGTGGGGCACTGGGTGCCCGCCTACCTCTTCTATTTGTAATGGGATGCTTGGCGGAGTGTGAAACCAGTACTTGACCAGGCCTCTGTACTTCAGCACCAGGAAGAGACAGGCCCCCGACAGCACTGACAGTGACAAGACAATGGCCACGGTGATCAGGATGACCGGCTGGAGCCTGGTAGCAGCTACAAAGGTGACAAAGGTGACCAGAATGACCATCTCACCCACGACACAACACCAGATCACCAGATGCTGAAATAGTGTCATGTCCCAGCACAACGGCCAGTGACAGTCACTGCCCCTCCTCCGGCCCCACCTGCGGGAATTATCAGCCAGTGAAGGTGCTTCCGTCACCAGCTGACAACACCCACAGGGCACTGCTGTCTTCTCTCTGGGTCCCCCCACTCCCACCACCTTCAAAGTGCCCCCCTCCCGCCCCATTTCACTATTTTAGGAGTGTCGTCTCCCCAGTTCAGACAGGACACAAGAAGGCACACATTACCATCTGCCGTTGTTTCATAGCAAGATGCGTTGCTTAAGTGCCCGGGACTGGACCGGCCTGTCCATCGCCCATCCAGCTGTGCTTGGACTTGTAAACAGTACACTGTGGCGGGCTTTAAACCATCCAACACAATGACATTCTTCTGGAAAGGGCCTTTCATCTACGTAAGACAAACACATCAACACCATGCAGGTAAACTGCCCAAATCCACACTCTTGGGCCCCCTCTGTATTTCCTCAAGTCCTCAGTGAATACAATCATCAAAGATAAGAAGATTCTGCTTCTCAGGAGCCGCTGGCATGCAGCGGATGTTTTATATGTGAATGTCAGTGAGTGGACAAGGAGCCGTGGTGTCGGGCTGTGATCTGTGACTCGGCCGGGCAGGGCCTGGGTGGCCGCCGAGGGCCCGGGCTGGAACGCAGGCATCCCAGTATCCACTGCGAAACTTCCTCTTTGAAAATGAGCCCTTGCCTTTCATGGCTCATCCGGTCTAGACACTTGAAGTTAGTCCACAGAGAGAAAATCATCCTCGGAGAGATGTGTCTGTGTTTCCCCGCCTGCTTAGGTTTTGACTGAAATGTGTCTGTTCCTCTTAACAGTTTTGGCTCCAATCAAGCCACGGTTGAAAGCTAGATTCCCTCCCACCTCCCTGGGGCTGCCCACCCCTGGGACTGTCACCCCCCCCCCCATACCTGGGGCTTTCCAGCTGGGAGCACCTCATTCTGCATAAAGATGTCGTTGGTCAGGGAGAAATGAGAAAAAAAAGATCATGTTATGACACTTAGGATTTCTTATAAAGGACTGGTTTCGGGCCTCCCCGGTGGCACAGCGGTTGAGTGCTGGGTTGCGAAGCTGCCCGCGGCCTCTGCTGCGCCAGTTCGATCCCCGGCTGCTCCCCGGCCACCGGAGGAGGGTCCCACATGGCACGCAGACCTCTCCTGCCGCCCGCTGCTCCCCTCAGCAGTGTACTTCGGTCCTTCTGCCTGCTCTGCTCCCCGCTCTGGCTCTGGTGAATTCTCTCACCCTCCCGCGCTTCTGACTGTACCCAGTGCATGTATAAACAAAACAAAACAAACAAACAAATAAATAAAAACATGCCTCTATAAAAAAAAAATAAAAAAAAAATACTAAAAAAAAAAATAAAGGACTGGTTTCTTATTCTGCAGCACAGTAGAATCAGCTATCGCCAAGTGAAATGCTGGTGTAATACACATTTGATAAAGAAGAACGATGAAATTGCTATCGTGGTGACTGGAACAAGCAGGTCATTCAACTGTACACAGCCTGTGAGCTCATATTATTAAGCTGTGGAACCTCCACTTCACGCAATTCCTGTTGCCTTTTATATCTTAGCCAACCTCTGGGTGAAATGTGGCAGCTCACAGGCATATTTCTTTGGTTACTACTGAATTTGGCTGGCTTAGATTTTTTTTTATTAAGATTTATGTATTTTTATACAAGAACCAGGGCACAGGCCAGAGGCATGGGAGGGTGAGAGGATTCATCAGAGACAGAGCGGGGAGCAGAACAAGTAGATGGACCGAAATACACTGCTGAGGGGAGCAGCGGCTGTGACAGGAGAGGTCCGCCGCGCCATGTGGGTCTCTCCCTGGCCAGCCGGGAATTGAACCTGCGCTGCAGAGGCTGCGGACAGCTTCACAGCACTGCGCTCGACCCACTGTGCCACCGGGGAGGCCCTGGCTTAGATTTTTGATCACTTCTATTGTATAAATTTCCTATCTCCTTTGTACATTTTGCTACTGGCTCTGTGAAAATTCTTTTGAAGAATATGAATCTTTATCCAAGGGTCATTAATCTTTTAACCTTTGTTTCTGGAATCTTCAGTTGGTCTTGGAATAATAAAAAATTTTAGTGAGATGGGTCTGTTAGTCTTTCTTTATAGTCTGTGCCTCTTGTTTCAACACTTTACGATGGAAAAGATGGCAACCAGCAGAGCTAACGGCTGCAGGACTTTTATCCGTACCCGAGGATGGCCTTTTTAAAAATATAAACTAATTGTATTTTCTATAAATACTAGGATTTTTCACTTTTCTTCGGCTTAATGGTGGGAAGAAATTTTTGCTTCTGATGTCACAAAGAGTGAGTTTAAAGGGCAACAATCCTTGTAGGTTTATTTCAGCAGCCAGTCGGCGTTTTTAAAATTGGAAAGAGCCGAAAACTGAGAAGACCGATGTTCAGCCCTGACACGGCCGTCCTCAGGGGAAGCCTGCTCGCGAGGCCGGCCCGGGCCTGTGCTGGGGAGCTGCATTTCAGGAGCGTTCCCACATAACCTAACTGGTAAGGTGGTGGACTGAGCACGTGATGTGCTTTCTGCCCAAGCCCGGCTTTCCTTCCGGGAGTCTGGGATTTTGGTGTGTGCTGGGGAGAAGCTGCGTTTGTGACCAGCCCCCCATAAACCTTGGGCACGGTTCCCTGATAGACGACATTCCCCGGGTGTCACAGTCTGTGGATGGAATGTTCAAGTGTGTTCTGTGTGAGTCTACGGGGAGAGCACTCTGGGGACCCCATGTCTGAACCCCTGGGCAATGCCCAGTGGGTCTAATCCCTTGGCCGATTTTGCTTTCCTTTTCCTCCTTACGTAGTAGCTGTGAGTCCCACGCCAGGCCCAGCCAAGCAGGTCTCACAGCCGGGATGGACAGCACCCGGCGGCTGGGAGTCAGCTGAGTCCCAGCACAGGGAGGGGAAGCACAGGTCTTGAAGGAGAGGACTACAACCAGCTCAGTCTCAGGCTCGAGGAGATCCTGGGACACCCTATTCTCCTTACCTATTTTAAAGTTTCCTTTCTTTTGCTATATCAGAAACTCTTAAGAAGAGAACATTAAAACAAAGAAGAAAAATGCTCTTGCCTGTTGGGTTGCTGTCTTCTCCCAGAAACGGACAAAATAATGAAAAGTGGCCAAGGAGATATTTATGTCAAAGGGAGGGGAGAGAGTGATGATAAAGGAGTTTTCTTCTGGGGTCACCCAGATGTTCCCTGGAGGCCCGACAGTAACTGAAATAGAATTACAAACAAACATACATGAATATGTATACATACCTATATTGCATCTGTACATAAAACATGTATAGTGTGTATATATACATTACATAATACTATACAGTATATATGCTCATACATATGACACGTCTACATGCTCACACATATAGCCACACAGACATGTTTACTTATCCACACACACATGCACACACATTTACATATCCACACATTTATATAACCACACACATTTACATACACACACATGCACTGAAGTTGCCCTTGTGGGTCTGCTACTCCTAGGCAGCCTATTCGGCCGTCATTTTGTCACCTAAACAAGGTCAAAGTGGCCTGGCCAGTTAGGAACAGGAGCCCAACCCTTCAAAGAGTGCAAAGCTGGGTCACACTGGGAAGGTTATGCATCACAAGGTATGTCCAGAACGCCCAGGGCGCTGAGGACCGATGCATAACACGTACTCCCGACTTATACATCACGAGGTATGACCGGGAACACTTGGGGGGCCAGGACCGATGTATGACAAGGGACCCCAGAAGCTGATCAGTGGAGCGCCTTGTTGATAAGATTAGAACCATGGCTGGGGATTAGGGTGTATCATCAAGTAGATGAGAAGTGCCTGGAGGGCAGACTCACAATGCCTAATCTTCTACACCCTTCCCCTTTCTTTAATCTCCTTAATCTCCTTACAACCAATTACGTGTGTCAATAAAAGGGCCAGGATCTTGCTCTTCAGCAGCATCCTGCATTAGTCTGCTCCACCACTCCCGTTTGTCAGTGTGGTGTTGTCCGACGCAACAGCCCTCAGGTGCAAAAGAACCACCAGAGGCTGCTCTGGGCACAAGATTTACTATGAAACTGTACATCAGGAAGCCCAGTGGGCTGCGCCATGCCCCACATGGTGGCCCAGGACAAGTCTCTCTGGCCTCCCCGGGGATAGCTCAGGTGCAAGCGGGGAGCCCCCCACCAGGGAGGCACAGAAGTTCCCGGGACTTAAAAGATATAAGAGCCACTATCTCTTACAACAGCTCCCAGGAGTAGTTTCCAGGGTTCCCACAAGGGACATGCCCCATTACAGGAACCACCACACTCAGCAAAGCCCAGACATGGCTTCCCACTGCTCACCGCTGACATGCAGGTGACCAGTCCCGCGGCCTTTTGACCATAAGCAGTGCTGCCTAGACACAGGCTAAATGTGTTGCCTTTATCAGCTTGCCTCAGAAACTGGGCCAAAGGTTAGTCAAAGATTCCCTTTCCATGCAGAGGGAAAAATGATTCTGTTGACCCTTATCTTCCCCCTCGTTTCCTCCCATCCACCCACCCATCCATCCCTCTGTCCATGGCTCCCTCCACCCGTCCATCCAATTTTTATGTGAATGAACAAGAGTGATATTTACAAACCTTTAAGTACATTTGTCTCCCAGCTAATTGTAACACTATGTTAAATATAAGAACGGAAACAGCACCATGGCCAGTCTGTTTGTTAAGACGCCTTACATGACTCACAGGCCAGACGGCCACGGACTGTGACTCAGGAGATGCCCTCAAGGAAGGGTCACAGCACTTATCAGGTCTAAGCTGTACAATTAACTGGAGGGCCTCGGACCAAAGCACAGGTTTGAGCTCGAGGGGGCCCGTCGCACGCCCTGCACACGCAGATGACCGTCTTGCTGTGGACAGCTGGCGTGGGTGCCCGGAGGCAGGGGCTCGCTCGCCTCTCACGCTCTCCCCAGGACTCTCCCAGGGTGGTGAGGGTTAGAGGTGTGGCCTGGGCCCCACCCCCATCCTCTCTGGCCCGGCCTTGCCCACTCACTGCCAGCTACAGCAACTACAGCAACGCGACAGAAAGCTTTCGTAAACCCTGCTCTCAGACATGGACACATACATTTTGAGCTTCCTTCCAACAGCTACGTGACCCAGCAGGGGAGGCCGCCCGCCTGCAGGGCCCCCGGGTGCAGGCCTCTCACTCACTGGACATTTTGTCCAGACTATCCCAGGACTCAGGATGGGAGCAGGGGTGGGGTTTGCCCTTCTGAAGAGAGCCTTGGATCCTGGATGCGGGACCTGAGGCCACCCTGATAAATCTGTCTCTGAGGGAGGAATCGACCTGCATTCCGGCCAGGCCCCGAGGAAGGCAGTGGAACTATGGGCAGCTTGCTAAGAGCAGTTTCACAGACTGAGCCTGTTACTGTCAACCCAGCCTTGTCCACAGATGTGGCCGCACCGCAAAAGGGGGTCCTGTTCCAGAGGAGGGACACAGGTGGTCTGCAGGCCCCTGGTCCAGTGAATCGTTCTCTCCCCCAGCATCAGCTTCAGTCAGCACGGGAGGTTCTGGAATAACGTTGTTTTGTTATGACATCAGTGGGAAAAAATGACCTTGGTTAACACTGAACAAAACGTTATTCCAGGGCCTGCTTTTGTTCTATGTTGTGTCACTTAAAGTCACGCTCCAAGAGGTCAAGACAGCACCAAGGACTTGCTGCGCTTGGGTTTGCCCATCACGCTGTTATTTAGGGTGAGAGACATGACTGAGGTGTGTGGACTGAGGGGAGCGGGGAGGAAAGGGAGCCTGGCTATGGAAAATGGAGTTTCCACCCAAGTTCTCTCACCGTTCCGGTAGTGCTGGAACCAGGGCACGGTTGCCCAGGCAGAAACCACGTCTCCCAGCTCGGCTCGCACCCGCAGATGGACGTTGAAGTGCGTGGAGAAGCCCCCTTCATTGCCAGTGAAGTTACACCACGTGATGGTGATCCTCGTACAGTTCACCCCTGGCAAGTAGCGATGCGTGTCGTGCCAGCCGCTTGAGCTGCAATTGCAGAGAAAAAGGGTCTCTCGTCGCTGAGTTCTCTGTCCTGGAGAGGTTTCCCCAGAGCAGTGTTAAAAACAGCTGTATTCAGGGTCCTCACACTGCACAATCCACCCATTTAGGGTGTGCAAGTTCATACTTCGCTGCCTTCCAGTAGATGCACAGGTTTGAGCCAACATCACCACAATCAATTTTAGAATATTTTCATCCCCCCCAAACCCCTGTTCACAGTCACTCTCCATTTCCCTTGAACCCCCCCGCCCCCGCCAAAGTTCTAGGCAACCTTTGATCTACTTTCTGTCTTTACGGACTTGCCTACTTTAGGCATTTCACATAAACAAGATCACCAGTGGTGTGGCCTTGTGCGAGCAGCTCCTTTCGCTCAGCCACTGCCCTGGCACATTACATCAGCACTTTCTTGTGGCCAAATAACATCCTGTTGTACCGATCACATTTTGCCAGTGGACTTGTGGGTTGTTTCAACTTGGACTATGGACCACTGGCAAAGAACAGTCACATTGTGTGAACATGTCTTCAGTTCTCTGGGGCATACACCCAGGAGTGGAACTGCTCAGTCAAATGGTAACTCCAAGGGGTCTCACCATTCTATGTACCCACTCACAGTGGCGCAGGGTTCCGATCTCTCTACAACCTCACCGACACTTCTATTATGGCTTTTTTCTTATAGCCTTCCTCGTGGGTATGCTGTGGTATATCACTGTGGTTTTGATTTGCATTTCCCTGGTGAATAATGATGCTGAGCACCTATTCACGTGCTTAACGGTCATCTGTTCGTCTTCTTTGGAGAACTGCCTACGACAATCCTGTGTCTATATTTTACTTGGCTTGCCTTTTAATTATTGAGTTGTAAGGGTTCTTTATGTATTGGATAGAATGTCCTTATCAGATACATGATTTACAAATTGTCTCTCCTATTCTGCCCTACAGCTGATTTTAATGCTTCAAACTCAGCTGCTGTAGCCCACGTCTTAGGAAGGACATTTGCCCAAACTCTGTTTATGCTTCCTGCTCTTGTGAGTGTTCTAACTCCATGGCCATGCATTTATTTATTTATGTATTTTTGCATAGAAGAACTGGGGTGTGAGGGGTGAGAGGATTCACCAGAGACAGAGTGGGCAGCAGAACAGGCAGATCTACTGAAATACACTGCTGAGGGGAGCAGCAGGGAGATGGGAGGGGTCTGTGGATCAGATCCCCGGCCAGGGATCACACTCAGGCCACCTTGTTGGGCTGTCATGGTCGTAGCGCTGAGACTTAACCCTTATGCCACCAGGGAGGCCCCCGTGGTTGTGCATTTAAAGAGAGTTTGCCTCACCCATGTGAACACCCTGCCATATACAAAGTGAGGCATCCTTGTAAGTGACAGTGCATTCCTCAGAGCCTCAATACTCCCACCCGGGACTCTGGTCCCCAGCCCTCACTTCTGTTCTGGTCTTAGGTGACAGACTTGATGCCTAACACCTTGTGCTTTCTTTGCTGAATTATCTTCAATTTATTTTTAGTTTCCCTAGGTAAACAATCATTTCTGGAAAACAAGGCAGCACCAGAGGCTAATGACCCAAACAGATCTATATATTGGTAATTCACCTACAAGTTTTGGTAATTCACCTACAATATATTGGTAATTCACCTACAAGTTTTCTTTCCACCAGCCCTGAAATCGTTTGCCATCTTGTCCAATTTGCCTGATGATTCTTTATCAATTGATAGATTAGAACCTAACAAAAATGTCAGGTTCCTGCGATTCCTCATTTCATTTAGTTATGCTGATTTTTTTCTTTAATTGGCACCTACGCGTCTCTACCTTGTGTTACCTTGACAAGCTTCACTTCCTAGTTTTCAGGTCACCTGTGTGCAAACACCTCATTCCCCTTTGTGTACTGACCTAGCATTACTGAGTCTGTGTGTTTTAGATTTTTTTCAGTCTTGCTGCTAGCTGGCGTCCTGTAACCTCTTCAGTCAATGGGTTATGAATGAAAAAGTTTCAAGGGACACAACAGCCACTTCAAGGCATGTGGTCAGGGTTTCCATAGAAGACTGCACCGCAGTCACACCCCCCAAGTCTTGGGTCACGACCCTAGCGGGGAGACAGATCCCAAGCCACGAGCACCTCCTTGCAGACTGCAGAGCATGCTCAGAAAGTGCACAGACACTTGGGGCCTTTCTCAGAGCTACTTAAACAAATATTTCTTAAAGAGTTTAAAGGGGCACAAGCCACCCCAATTTAAATGACAGCTGACACCCAAAGGCCTGTGGTTGGGGGAAGGACAATCGGGAGAGGGAGCTGTCTTCCGGAATGCTGCCTCCCCTTCTGCCAGCAGAGGGTAAAAATAGGTGCCAAGGGGCCCACTGCAGTAAAGAGTGACCTGAACACAGCCTCAAGGGCCCGGCACTGCCCACCCGCTGCAGACTCCCAGACAGGTCCTCTCGCAGCTGCCCACAATGGCCGGCTTCCGTCCTGGGACGTGCCGAACGGGACAGCAGCCCTCACCACAAGCACAGTGGTTAAGTAGGGGGGGCTCTAAAGCCACAAGACCTGGGCTCAGATCCTTGTTGCTTCATTTCTCTGTTCTTCAGTGTCTATTTTTTCTCTATAAAATGGAGCTAAACATGGCTCCCAGAGCTGCCAGGAAGGCTAAACCAGTTATCAAGGAAACCCAGTTTTGATGCTTGGCAGCTTGTAGGCACCACGTCAATGTTTGTTAAACAACTGGATGGCTAGTGATTGGATTATTTCCAAAATTGGTAAATTTGTCCCTTTTGATCCAATAATTACTCTTCTGGAAATGTAAGGAAAAAAGCAGAGGTGACTGATATAAGAGGATACGGCTTACAGGAGTTATAAACAGTCAACCACCTATATTTGTAAGTGAGGAGGAATTAAACACATCATGGGATATATCATATAATAAAATTGTGTACAGAGAAATCATATGGAAAAAAACGCTCACCCACTTAACTACATTAAGTTAAAACAAAACAAAAAAGGAAGCAGGGCCCAAAAGCGTAACCCCAGTTTTGTTTCATTTTTATACAAACACCAGCCCATTTCCAAACAAGTGCATGCATTTAGAAAAAAGTCTAGAGAGAAATACACTAAGAGGACAGTAGTGATCATTCTTAGACAAAGGCAACAGCTTGTTTAAATGTTATTCTTATTGCTTTTCTGGATTTTCCAGATTTTCTACAAAGCTCATGTATTGCTATTAAAATAAAATTGAAATGAAACTTTAAAAGATGTTTCTTGAGAAGATTGGGCTGGGCGAGGGGTGGGGGGGCGGTGGCTAAACCCGAAAGGGCCCTGCTTACTGGCTATATATTCAATGGAAACTGGAAATTAATCTAGAATTCTTTTTCTTGGAAGTGCTATCTCTAGATTGGTTAATGTTGGCAGTATTTGAAAAACAAATTTGCACACTGTGGGCCAAACGGCCTGTAGGCCAATATATATGGTCCCTGCAGCCTCTGATTTAAATTTAAAAATTTTGCCACCAAGTGCTCTATATAATTTTGGTTTTGCTACTGTAACTGTCAAAACACAGAAGCACCCTTGTTAGCAATTACAATAATGCCTGCCTGCAGAGAAACAGGATGGGAAGCTCAAGTCCCACAAAATTAAATTATTTAATATCACTAGAAATTCCCTAATATGTCAAAGTCTCTAAAAACAAAACAGAAGCAAAGGCCCTCTCCCACCAAATCTGTAGCTACAAAGAAAAGAAAACCAGCCTCCATCCGTTTTTGGTGGCCTCTCAGCTTTTCTGAATGTGGGGCCTGTCTGTTCACCCCATCTCTTTGTTTCTTTTCCTAAAATCAACTTGATCCTGAATACATCTCTACAAAACGTTTTGAGCAAACCCAACAAAGTGAAACAAGTTGGTCTAGGAAAGTGTTGCTTTTTGAAAGTGTCAAAGTTTTTAAAAACTATATTTCTAGTATTTAGAGGCTCTGTCAACACACCAGGCAGGGTCCTTCCCCTTTGGAAGCCGAGACGTCTGAGTCAACAAACCAGCGGCGACGTCCTCTACTCAAAACCTTGTTTAGCTCCAGTATATTATAACCCACTACATGCTGAGGAGGGCCGGCTTCCGCCTGAGGACATGCGCGGTGCCCTTCACCAACTTAAAGTCCTTAACAATATTTGAACAAGGCCCCCCCCCCATTTTAACTTTACACTGGGTCCATTGTTTATAGATTACCATGCTTGTCATTTACAGTTACTTGAAGAATGGATAAATGTGAGCAAAGGCAACCCTCAAAGTCCAGTTTAGAGTCTAGATTTTGAGCCAAACACTGTTACAATGGATACGGAGAGAGGAAAAAGGAGCCACTGGAAACCAATTCCTCTAACACAGTCAACGCCTGTTGTGGTTCCAGGTTCTCTGCTGTTCTGACCACGGATACATTCCAAACTGTACATGTGGCTCCAGTGGCTGCCTCAGGTCCAACCACAGGCTACCAGGTGTGACATGCCTCTTTCTGCCGGTGGCCAAGAATAGACACTTGAAGGCCTGTCCTTGTCAGTGTTTTTTCTGAGAGATTGCATCCTCTGCTTCAGGTAAAAGTGCCGTGGGAATCTCTATGAGTCTGATGTATAGAAAATATTTTCCAGGAAGGCTGTGCAAATTGGCCCTGATCCTACACTGTACCAACCAGTCACATCCTCACAAGCTTTGCCATTTCTCTAAACGTTATTTAGTAATAGAAAATGACAGCCTATAATTTAACTTCATCTGCTAGAAATCCATTTAATGAGGTCATCCACTAGCACTGGAGGCCTTGGACCATCTCCTCGTCTTCATCTGTGTGTTTATGTTACACACTAAATGATGACAAACTCCGAAGGGACAAGAGCCAGAATAATGTGCCAAAGAGAAAACTTGCTTCAAAATTATAATTAAAGGACGCGGTTCCTTATTAGGTCCAATTTGACCTAGAAGGTTAAATAAACCAGATTTTTCAAACTTGAAGGAACTAAGAAGCAATAAGGTGCCTTCTGCCTGTCAAAACAGGAAATCCTTTTAGACAACTTCTCCTGAAAGCAATAAGAGAATAAACTTCCACCAAACTGAGAAGTCACGTGGTAGGCCGCAGGCCTCCCCACCAGCCTGTGACCTCTCAGCCCCCACAGGAGTGGGAGGCTGAGTCGCTGCCCTGGGGGTTTGAAAAGTACACAAGAAACATGTGTGTCCCCTGGATTTGCTTATAATCCTGCCAAGAGGCAACAGGGAGCAGCTGGCCCCAGGCCCCTTGACGACGCCCCCACAGCTCCCGGGAAGGACACCACGGAAACATCAGGCTTACTATTTCAGCTGCACCCGGTAGACCACGGGCCTCGAGTCCCAGTCCGGGGTCCCTGGCTCCCAGCTCAGGACCTGCTCCGTGTTGTACAGGCGAATCTTCGGGTTCCGAGGAGCAGGCAGCTGGGAAGGAGCGTCTTGCGAGGGACAAAGAATAAGAGAAAGGGGCGGGAGAGAAAGGGAGAGTCAAAAGGAGAAAAGAAAATTACAAAATGACTTAAATGCACGCAACCATTATTCACACATTGCAGTTTTGGTCCAAGTGCAGAAATGGTATTACTGGATCTCCCTGGCAGGTTCCCCAGCCCCTGATGATGAAGATGGCACCCTTGGATTTGCTTATAATTCTGTCAAAATGTAGATTTCTGTCCCACATGCGCCACAAGGAAATCTGCAATTTCAACATGCTTCCCATCTGGCTCTTTTGCATATTAAAGTTTGAGAACAAACAACGAAATGCATGACCCCCAGGGAGCCCCACTGGCACAGTCCCCTTCCTTGGCGTGACCTGGAAGATGTGACCTCAAACCTACCCCCTCCTCTGAGCAGAGACCTTACAGGATGGAGCTAGAGATGGCAGGGCCCTGAGCCTTTCCTCTAGGGAGAAAACTTTCTCTGAGACTGAAAGATGAATCAGAAATGTCTGGAAGGTAGAAATTCAAACCACACAGTTTAGTAAATGGACCAACCAGGTAAGGCTGAGGGCCTGGCCCCACCAGCTCCTCACTGGAAGGGCTTGGGGCCACTTGTCACCTACAGCACGCCCACCCATCTCCATATCTGCCATCACTGGCTGACCTTCATTCTGGATCTTTCTTCAACTAGAGAACCATCACTTCTCCCAATTGATACCAAGCCTTCAGGAAGCCAGGGCCAAAGGGGCAGAGAGGGGCCTGGTGCGGGAAAGTTGCTCTCCCAGTCAGGCCCATGCCCGTGATGCAGTTACAAATGATTGGTCTCTCAGATAAGAATTAACAAGTTTGTTTTTCCCCATCTCTTGCAATGACCCCTTTATTTGACATGTTTGCCTTATGACAGGGGGTCTCTCAGATAAGCATTAACAGGTTTGTCCCATATTTCTTGCAACTTCTCCCTTATTGGACAGGTTTGTCTTCTTGCATTCCAAGGAAAAGGGAGTTAAATAGCAGTTGTTGAAAAAAAGCAAGTGAAACCCCACCCCTCCCCCCTACCTTTGCAGACCCTTGTCCATCTTACCCCCTTTTTTCCCTTTTGCATAAAGACCCCTGCACTCTGCCAAAGAGCAGGACGGTTGTCTTTCAGACTCAAGTCTGCTGCTCTCCTCGTTTGTTGGCAAATTAAACCACTTTCCTTTTCCTCAAACTCTGTTTCCTTTATTGGCTGAGGGAAACTGAGGCCAGAGTTTGGAATCACCCACACCGTGGCTGCAGGGTACAGTGGACCCCAAAGTGTGCCGAGAGCTGTAGTTCCTCCAGGGCATGTCCTCAGGACCAGGAGCTCAGCACAGAATCTCGGAGCCCTCCTTCTACTGCCTGTTCCTTATTGATGCTGAAATAAATGATCCCAACTTAGAGGCTTCAGACACTCTGAATTTATGCGCTTGCTATTCTGGGGATCAGTTTGGAACAGGTCTCATCGTACCAAAGTTCACCGCGTGGCTTCCTTCTGGAAGCTGTAGGGAGAACCTGTTTCCCTGCCCTTTCCAGCGGGCCTCTGCTCACATTCTTTGGCTGTGGCCCCGTCCTCGGGGGACGCTGGGCCCAGTGCTGGGGTCTGTCTGGGCCAGACTCCTCTGTCCTTCAAGGACCCTGGGCCCACACAGCCCAGCAACGCATCTCACTCCATCACTCTGCAAAGTCCCATCGGCCGTGTCAGGTAACAGTCTGGGGCGTGGGGATCAGCATGCGGACATCTTTAGGGGTCCCTTCATTATCTCCCCATCGCAGGGAGAGGAGCCAGTAGGCATTTCCTCTCCCTCCAACCTTCTTTACCATCCTCTCCCCAGCCTAGACATTCAGCTAGGAGAGGGGGTGCCCAGGGACCGGTGATGACGAGCAGGCTCCCACCCCACTGACGCTGGGCCAGAGAAAGGCTTTCTGGAGCCTCCAGAGGAGCCTAGAGAGTGAATCTGCAGTTTCACTCTCATAGTTGAGTTTCTTGGAATCCCTTGTTTCACCACATTCAGGAAGAAAACAAGTCTGAGAACCGTCAATTGCCATGAAGCAGCAAAACTGCAGACCACGCACGGGGGCCTGATAACCGGTTCTCCTCACCTGGCAGATATCCTGGCCAGCCTCACCCTTTGTTCCTGCCCCCGTGGTCTCCTTGTTCCTGGAACATGCTGGGCTCACCCACACGCTGCCTCGCCCTGGGGCGAGGTTCTGGAACCTTCTGTCCTGTGGTGCCCTTGATCTCTCTGCCACTCCCTTCCGGTGCCCTCTCCTCAGACTGGCTCCCAGCGTTGAATGCCTGGCCTCAGGACCCCCTCTCTGCTCCTTTTCTCCATGGGGCCTCTTCACCTCTGGTGTCTTTCGCTTAGAGGAGCATGGGTTCCAGGACCTGGGTTCCAAGTCACGCAGGGTTGTGGGACCTCGGGCGAGCTGTGTCACTTCTCTGCGCCTCAGTGTCCATCTGGGCAACGGGCGGGATGGCGACACAGACTTGTCACCAGGGATGAAGGAGCAGATTTTGTGTGCAGTGCCAGGACCACCTCATGACCGTCACCGCTTCTGGGTAATAGCACAGCGACAGCCCCCCCAGAAACCAGCACGGCGAGCTCCAGAAGGGCCAGGTGCTGTTGGATTTAGGGGTTGAAAGAGCAGCCACTCAAGAGCTGGGAGTGGTGACGGGGTGGCCTTCAGCACAGAGGTGCGCGCCTCATCACAGATGGGGCCACCACCCCCGTGTCCTCAGCGCTGCCTCTTCCACTCAAAACCACGCGCAGCTCCAGCTCTCTCCTCCCTTCTTTGCTTTACCATCCGGCTCCCCGTTTCTTGGGTCTCAGAGGCTGGCGCAGGGGCTGGATGGGCAACTCTGGGCCAGGGACTCATCTGGATGATTCTGAAAAGTCTATATATTGGCCATCACGCCTGCTGTTAGCAGTGTTGAAAATGGCTCAGATTCTTCAACACACCGGTAATTAAATTCTGAAGGAATTAGTTGACTTAGCGCACGTCAGTGCTACTGATTAGTTTTCCATCTAAAGGAAATGGTGGCCACGTTACTAGAGAATGGGTCATCCCATATTTTACATATGATTCCCTACAGCAACTCTAAAGGACAGCTCTTCTAAGTCTCCTTTTTAAAATTTTGCTTCGGAAACTCTTACTTCCCCCACCCTAACCACAGAAACAATTTTCTGATTACCAGACACTTGTGACTTACACAAAAGTGGGCATTTTTCTAATGATTTGATCATCGTTAATATTTTCACTTTGCCTTGACTCATAAAGAGTTTCTCTTAAAAATATCCCAGGTGGGTCTTAAAAATTCTTTATTATGAAAAAATTTCAGAGCCACAGAAACAGAGATGAATATAACGTGCTGCTTTGCAAGGGATGTCTGATGAAGGGCCAACGTACATCTGCGACGTGTCACATTGTAGTAGCCAATAAAAAGTGACTAGTAGAAAGACGCCAAGCCCTCAGGTGCTGTGCTGTGCTGAGCCACCAAGCTTCTAAAGACTTCTCTCAACCTTTGCACGCACACAGTCACAAGGAGTTCTGTGGTCACCACCTATCAGTAGTAACGGTGTACATACCACCACCTGCCCGCCGCCATTCCCAGCAGTTTGCCAATCCCCTGTCTTATCTAAAGGAGGCCCAGAGCCCGGGCAGAGTCAGGATTCAACCCACTTGTCTGCCTCCCATGGGAAAATGTGGGCCCACAGGCTCACAGGCAGGGTTCCCCCAATCAAGGAGCTGTGGGGTCTTTGCAAGGGCTGCTGGGGGAAGAAATACACCCAAGCAACACCTGGAGACTTCAACAGGAGGACCTGTTCAATGTCACGAGCCTCTAAGTGATACACTCAATGAGGACATCAATCTCTCCACCCAGAAAAACCCAGCTTAACACAAACACAGACACACACACCCCGAATGTTCTACAGAAGGAGACTGAACCCAGGCAAGAGGCCGGCTGGTCAGAAGCAGGCCAGGAGACCTGCTCCCCAGCACGACCACGGTCATACCTGGGCCTGCCCTGAGAGCTCGTCCCTCTCCCTGATCTCGTGGAGGCCACGCTCACTCTGGACACCCCCAGGCTGCAGTAACAGTCACAGCCTCGGCCAGGGCAGAGGCTCCAGCGGCGGAGGGTCTCCAAGGCGCAAGGGCGCCAGGAGGCTGATGGGTCTCACCTGCAGCTGCGGCCCCTGGCCAGGCAGGGGCTCAGGCGCATCAGTACCAAGAATCTGTGGCCGGCAAAGGCGGCCCTTTCCGAGCCCGGGGTTCGCTCACCCTCTGCTCCTGGCAGGGAGCGGCGGCCGGGGCGGGGTGGGGGCTGCAGGGTGCCAGGCTGCAGGGTGCCCAGGCTGCAGGGTGCCCGGGCGCAGCAGCTGGGCCAGGCCGCAGGGAGGAGCGGCGGCCGGCCCGGCTCCTCCGGGTCAGCAGGCTGCTCGCCCAGAGGCGGCCGGAATTCCCCGCCGCCCACCCCACACCCCGCGGCCAGTGCGGCCCCCCGCGCGCCCCGCGAGCCGGCAACCCATCGGGGCCCCCGCGGACCCACCCAACGATCGTTCGCCCCGCACGAAGGCCCCTACCTGGAGCCCTCGCGGACCCCACCGGGTCGAGGCGCTCCGGGGACCCCACCCGCCGGGCATGCGCGAGCCGCCGGGCGCGCCCCAAGCCCTCGCGCTCCCCACCGCGGCCGCGGCGCCGCGAGCCGGCCGGGGCGGCCCCTCCTACCTGTCGGGGGCGCCGGGGCGCCGAGCCCGGCGAGCAGCAGCAGCAGCAGCGGCCGCATGGCGGGGGGCCGGGGCGCCGGCCGGGGCTCGGGGGCCGCCGCGCTGCTCACGTCGCGGCCGGGGCGGCCATGGCGAGCGCCGGGCCCGCCTCTTCCCGAGCGCCGGGGCCGGGACTGCGCGTCCAGGCGGCGGGGAGCCCGGCTCGGCCGCCGCGCCCAGGCCGGCCCCTCCCGCGCCCCGCCCCGCGCCGCGCCCCCGCCCCCCCGGGACTTTCCTCGGCGCCTACCGCGGCCGGCGCTCCCGGGAAGCGTGACCCTGGGGCCCCGGGCTCCCCGCGGGCCGGGCGCCAAGTCGGGGCCCGAGTCGGGGCCCCGCCGAGGCAGGAGGCCCGGGGCGCGGGGGAAGCCCGGGGCGCGCGCCCGCGGGGCGCCCGGCCTCGCGACCCCGCTCTCCCCCGCTCTCCCCTCCCTCCGCCGGGGAGCGCTTGGGGTGGCGCGGCGGGGAGAGCCCCCCTTGGGTTTACCCCTCTGGTTTCTGCACAGCGGCGGGGCACCCCGAGCTTTTCACACTTGCTCAGAAACCAGCTCTGAAGCGCGCGCTGGCGGCACAGGGCCTGGGGCGGGAGGGCGGAGGTTTGGGGGGCGCAGTGGGCAGAGAAAGCGGAAGGAGAAGGGCACGTCCCGCGTTTCACGTGCTGGGTGGGTCCGGCTTGGGGCGCCGAGAAGCGCGGGAGGAAGTAACCGGGGCGCCGGGTGGGGTGGGGTGCTGGGGGGCCCCCAGGGGCCTGCGCCTGCTGCCACCCCTGGCTCCTGCGTCCAGGTGGAGCCGGCGCCGGCCTGGGGAGGGTTCGGTGAGCTCAGCCCGGAGCGCAGGGGGAAGGGGGTGAAGCGGGAGCCCCAGAGGAAGGCGAGCAGCCAGGGGTGCCCCGGCCGCCGCGCCTCGGCCCGGGCCGCCCTCGGGGTACAGCCCCCGCGTGGGTCCGGGCCCCCCGCCGCCCCTCCGGCCCCTCCCCCGCGGCACCCGGAGTTGAGCGCTTGGCCCCCGAGTTTCCCAACATGAGTGGAATAAACGGAACCAGCAGCCCCAGGGCCGCTGGCAGCACCGTGTTTGGCAACCCGTTGTTTTGGGGCTTGTGCGTTTTTGGTTTTTGTTTTTTTTTGTAAAACGCCTTAAAAATCGACCACCGTTGTGCAAATAGGTGATGAAATACCTAGCAGTTCTTTAAATCATGCTTTGATTTTTTTCAAGACATAGACACATTTGTGTGATTAAGTGGAAAATGATTGGACGTGGAAAAAGCAGACAGAAGGCAGAATTCTTGCCCAAAAGGATGCCTTGAAAATGATGGGAGGAAAGACCAAAATACGAAAAGGAAGTGGGATTATGATGCTAACACTTTTATTTTTTATACTTTTTTCTTCCCTGATCCCTATGAAAATATATTTCTTTTCTAATCAAGGGGAAAAAAAACCCAACATGTTAAAGAAAAGGACAAATGCACCTTGGTCTCAGGTCAGAGCGGGCTTGTAACCTCCCTTCAGGTAGAGTTTTCAGGAACAAGGACAAGGAAATCTGTGGTTACCGAGGGGGCTGGTAATCAAATCAAAACCACAATGACAGATTACCTCATACCTGTAACAATGGCAGTTATAAAAAAGACTGAAAACAACAAGTTTTGGTGAGGTGTGGAGAAAAAGGAACACTCATCCACAGCCGGTGGGGATGTAAACTGGTGCAGCCGCTATGGAAAATGACATGGGAACTCACTAAAACTCTAAAAGTGGAAAAATCCTATGGCCCAGCAATACCGTGACTATGTATGTGCTAAAAGAGTCTGAAAACACTAATGATAAGATATCTGCGCTCCTCTGTCCACAGCAGCATTCTTCACCAGAGCCAAGATGTGGAATCAAGCTAAATGCCATCAACAGATAACTGGACAAAGAAGTTATGGTATATATGCTGTTTCCAGTGGAATACTACACAGCTGTAAAAAAGGTTAACTCTTGGGCTTCCCCTGGTGGCGCAGCAGTTGAGCGCTGGGCTGCGGGGCTGCCCACAGCCTCTGCAGCCCCTGTTCGTTCCCCGGGTGCAGGTGAGGGTCCCACAAAAACAAACAAACAAACAAACAAACAAGGTTAACTCTTGTCTTTTGCGATAACATGGATGGAATTTGAGGTGATGATGCTAAGCAAAAGAAGACAGAATTATCAGATGGGTTTCACTCACATGTGGAATATAAGTAACCAAAGTGAACAAATTGGCAAGACACAAGAAGAATAAATCTTGGACTCTGTAAAAAACATAGTGGTCATCAAAGGGAGAAGGGGGTAGCATGTCTCTTATAGTAAGTGATGTTGAATGTGGGCTGTCTGTATGTTCTTTGGAGAAGTCACACTGAGCTTCTCATTCTGTCTTTTCAGTTTCCCCATAATCAAGCTTGGCTCTGCCCACCCACCATACTTTTCTAGCTCCCCAATGAAATCCTGGGTTTGTCGGCAAGTCTTTGAAGATGAACGTCAAGACATTCTTCCAGGGGGAATGAGAGGGGTCAGAATAGGGGAGGGGAGCGCACAAGGGATGGTAGTGATGGCTCATGGGTGCTGCCGTGGTGGTAGAGCCCCCGGGACCACACCTGATAGGCATAATCAAACGCTGTCCAAAAATTAGCAATGGATGTTAAGAAAATAAATGAAACATTAAATCTAAAAAAAAAAAAATTAAGTCCTCCCTATGCTGCTTCACATTCTCGGCTGTCCACCCACCTGCCGCCCCCTTCCCGCCTGCACCAATCCCCTCCCAGATTCATGATCTAAATTCTAAAATTCCATCTCATGCCTGAGATTTCAGTTCCTGGGCCCTGTTGCCTTCCCTACTTACTGTTGGGCAGTATTCTGTGGCATCGTGGATCCCCCTGAGATGACACCTCCAAAATGCAGGGGTATAGTGTTCCTCCCCCTTCCCCCAGTCACATGAGCCTCAGGAGCCCTGAACTTGAAGTTAGTCCTTGAACATTGCTAAATGGGGTCTCGACTTGTTACTTGGTGCCCTCTCTTCCAAGAATGGCCAGCAGCAAGGTCAGCGGCAAGGTCAGGTTAGGTTAGTGAAAGGCCAGGTCCCCTGGGTCTCCGGAGCCTGCCTCTGGACCCCTCACTCTGGCCCTCACAGGCTGCCACACCCTCCTTCAACCCTTCTGCAAAGCCTGTGTTCCTGCGTCCCCAGTGAGGCCATGTAAAGCCTTATTCCAAAAATACATTCTCTTTCCTCCTCCACCCCCTCCTCTGAGTAAGCCTTGCAGGTGCAGCCATTTACAGGACACGTGTATTTCATCACGCTGTAAAATGGGAGACGAGAGCTGGACATGTTGCAGGGGGAGGAGAGATTAGATAGAGAGGGGAAGATTTTATGAGTTCTTGAACTTTGAAAACAGAAGAGGCTCCAGTATTTTAGGTAGATGCTAAATCTTTAATATTCCTGCCCCTGGCAACGTTCCTGGGAAAGCCCCAACGACTTCCGGAAGCTGCCCTGGGAACTGGAAAGGTCAGGCCTGGGAGTCCTTCCTTGGTTCTCAGCTCTGCACAAAGTACGTGTTAAGAAGCCCCTTGGATCAGTAATTCAGAGGCACTTGAACGATCTCTCTTTTCTGGAAAGGTTGAGATAATCTCATTATCTTTTTGTGTTGACAATAACCATCTGCATCCTGTAGACTTAGGGAAAACCCCGGTAGATTGGACATAAGGAAGAGCAGTTCATGAGCAGATCAGCTCGGCAAAGAGGTGCAGGCAGCACCAGGGATGAGTCACTTCCAGTACCTTCCGCGCAGAGGGACCTGCGCCCACACCCACACTCGATTTATTGAGATGCTTCCCAGTTTTCTGCTGCCCCTCCATCCTCCTAACAAACCCATGAGGGGGAGGCTGTAGCCATTTGTCTTGTTTTGAACACTTTGCTGTATTTGGGGGATTTCAGCTTCCTTTTCAGAAAACTCCAATTCCCAGCCTCCCCTAGAGCCATGTTACATCCCCTCTGTCAGGACTCCTTCTGCTAAACACCTTCTCTGGGATAAAAAACACCAAAAAAACACAAACATCTCCAAGAACCACTAGGACTTCCTTCCCCATCCATCTGCTAAGGTCCCCAGTTCTTCAACAGTTTTTCACCAGGGAAACCAGCCCCACTGAATTAAAAGAATTTTATGTTTCATATCCCGGAGGCTAAAAACAGTGAGGATTCTGACTCTCTTTGCAACCATGCATAGGACTAGCCTTGCGGGTGTTTTCTTGACCTCAGTTATGGTGATCCGCCTTGTTTTCCACGTATACAGTTGCATCCCCCCTCCCCACATGTATTCTGATGTGATTGTTGCTCCTTTCACTTCTGCTTTGGGAAACAGGTAGTGGAGCCTCTTGTCCATTGCATACTACTAGGCTGGCTCACCTGGAAGAAGAAGGGCCTTCCTCCTGTGTGTGTGTGTGTGTGTGTGTGTGTGTGTGTCTGGGTGCAGGCACATGTGGCTACATATTTTGCAGGGATGTTAGGGACTGAATGTGTCCCTCTGCCCCCCATCCATATGCCAAAGGTCTTGCCTCTATTCTGATGGTCCTTACAGGGGTTCTGGGGAGGTGGCTAGGGTTGTATGAGGTCATGAGGATGGGGCCCTCGTGATAAGATTAGTCTCTACTGAGGAAGGAGGCGCCTCACCAGAACCCAACCATACTGGCACCCTGATCTTGGACTTCCAGCCCAGACTGTGAGAAAATAAATGCCTGTTGTTTAAGCCACTCCATCTGTGGTAATTTGTTATGGCAGCCCAAGCTTACTAAGAAAGGGCCTTGAGCTTTGGTAATGCCAGTGTGTGAAAAAGAGCTCCTAGCACAGTCTGAGGAAGGGAAGGGAATAGTCCCCTGGCCTCCGTCTGAGGGATGCTGCGCTCATGTCAGGGAGAGCACGTTTGTGATGGAGTCACACCGTCTGAGAACGAAGTTCCTGGTCATGCAGTTCCTGTGTTACACCTCTGAGAAGCCTCCAGTCAGCATTTCTGGCAGCAGAACCATGTTGCACACTGTGGGTAAATTCCAGTCACCAAAGGAGAAGTGTGATGTCTCCATTCACCCAGGAAGCCTTACTCAG